ATCAAATTTTGCAAAACAAAACATTTATAATTATTTCATAATTATTATTTTATTCTCATAATGAGTTATATTTTTATTTACTCTAGGAAATATAATTATCCAAATCACAGATAACTGAAACATGTATAGTGATAGAAAATTGGCATTATATGGTATAGATTACTGAAAGTCGATTATGAGTTCAATATCAATCTTAATGTAATAATTCAATAGTCCATTCTTCTCCCATATTTACAGCTGGTTTACGTATTGTTAATACATTGTTATGAGGATTATATGTAGTTTCCAAAGTTACTCTTCCCATATCTGTAAGAAATTGTATATACACATATATATTATTAATATAGATTATAAAATTTTTATTTTTAATCATACTTAAATCTGACTTAATTACTCACTGTGAGATTGCAATTGGGCAGACTTAATTCCTTGTGGTGGATTGGCTATATCTATTCTTTCTAACCAACTTTGTGTCTCAAACGAAGCTAGTTTATCTATTAGAGTCGAAGTTATTTTGTTGTTGTTCAATGTTATTCTTACATATAAATACTTTCCATGGCGATATTCAAAACTGGTTTCATCATCAATGTATAGATTACCGCTAGCTTTACCATCATTATCAGCAATTATTATTAATGTGTAGGGATCATTTTTCATAGCAACTGTACTACGTCGTATCCTCATTTTTCGTGGGACAATGGAACCACTTCTTTGAAACACAGGAATCTTGTGCATCGTTACTGGTATTTTGATGTATCCAGTTTGTTGATAAGGTTGCATTGTATCAATATCATACCAAGTTACTTTATTTTCTCCTGGGAAGTAAACTGCTACTTCAGTGGCACCAGATTGGAATACGGGACATACGAGTAGAGAATCGCCAAGTAGCAAGTGATCATCTATAGTAAATGTTTCTGATTCCAATGGATAATGCGCCCATAAAGGACGTATAACAGGTAAACCGTTTACTTCGTGTTCTCTAAAGAGTGTATACCAATATGGCAGATAAGAGTATCGCAATCTGAGTGCTTCGCGCACCATTTGAGTAGTTTCCTCATTAAATGTCCATGGCTCGCGTCTCTTTGTCTCGATGTGAGAATGCTGACGGAAGAAAGGTAACCATACTGCGGCTTGGTACCATCTAATGAATAGTTCGGAATCTGGATTGTGAAAGAAACCTCCCACATCGGCACCACACAATGACATTCCAGATATAGCAATTGAGAGACACATGGGATAACTTATGCGTAGATGATTCCAATTAGCCATGCCATCGCCAGTCCACATTGTTGCATAGCGTTGTGATCCAGCGAAGAAAGATCTTGTTAAAATAAAAGGTCTTAAGGAACCGCCCGATCGACGGAATAAAGCTTCATATGTTGCACGGATATACATATGTCCATTAATATTGTGAACATCTCTATGTTCCCATCCTCCATAATGAACAAGATCCTTCGGTGCAGTTATTTCAGGTCCATTAAATACACTTGGTTCATTCATATCATTCCAGATATAAACGTCGTTAGTCGTTCCATGAAATTTATCTAAATTATACAAGCCCATAAAGTACTCAGCAACTTTTGGATCGAAAAAGTCCAAATATGACGAGGATCCCGGCCAACACCAACCCTCGTAATCTTTTCCATCTCTGTTTTTAATGTAATAACCCAAATTGGTTGCATCATTATGTATGTAATAATTATTATCACGTTTAATATGAGGATCAATGATAACCACCAATTTTCTGCCTTTGGCAGTAAGATTGTGTACCATTTCAATAGGATTTGGGAATTTACGTGAATCCCAAGTAAAATATCTCTTGCCATCGGTATATTCAATATCGAGCCACATAGTTTCTAGAGGCAAATCATGCGTATCAAAACTTTCAGCGATTGTTGCAACATCATCCTGATCATTATAATTCCAACGGCTTTGATGATATCCAAGAGCAAACATCTAAAACATTTAAGAGAAACTGTAAGTTTTGACTAATAAATATTTATTTTACAACATAACTTAAAAAGATTTTTATTTTTACAATATTTAAATATTTTAATATACCTGTGGTAAAGGAGCTGTGCCAGTTAGGACAGTGTACTGTTTGAAAAGATCAAGTGGCTTTGGACCCAACATAAAGAATATATCAATCACTCCAGATTCCGACATGAAATGAGCATCTACCTGGGATTTCTTAGTAGATCTAGATACAAAATTAACAATACTTTCTACAACATTGTTGTCTGCACTCGATAAAATATCAATCCAAGTTTCTGCTGTATTGTGCCAAAAAACACCTGATGATCTTTCCTTTCTAAAATATATAAATGCAAATAAATTTTGTAGAAATATATTTTTATGAATCTATTAGAAGTTATTAATGTATTTAATAGATTCCTACCCATGAGCATAAAGAACTGGGATAGCACCATACAAAGACATACGTTCGTTTGTTTCATATTCAAATACATCTAAATTGTATAGTCTGTATGGATCAGTAGATTTAGTCGATTGTAATGCTAGCGAATCAGCATGTTCTGGCACACCATAAGCATGCTCCGATCCAGGAAAGCTGAAATCCATGGCAACAGCTTCAGGACCAAATGGTTTTGAATCTTGATGTTCTTTAAAGTTTTCTTCCCAAGCACCAGGATCACTCTCAGCACCATCACCAGGGTATGTAGTATTATTTATTTCTGCACCTTGAGCATTTTCATCTTCTGATCTATAGCACAATAACAAAAAGAGTAAACCATACATAGTTTATCATGTTATTGTTATATGAAAACTTTTAGTGTAACAATTGTCCAACATATATAAATACCTTACTGATTTAGTACGTAAATGTTCAAATCTCATAAGACCACGAGCATTTGCTGATATTGTTAAAACATCTTGGGAGTATAGATCTACTTTAAATGGATTAACATATAAAATAACTTTGTTTTCCCCTTTTACTACAGTTATACTTTCAGTCGTTTTTTCCACAGAATCCAATTTTGTTATTTGTGGCTGATCATGAAGAGCATATTCATTTTCATATCTGGGATGCAGTGGGTTCTTTTCATTGATATGCAACCTAAATGTACTCTCTTTCAACGAGGTAAGTTGTACCACATACGAGATACCTGTGTCTTTATTAAATAGATCTATGGTAATCATAGATTCATTTTGTATAAGTGTATCAGGTAATAGCTGATATGGTGTTTTTCCAGGCTCTACTTTCCTGCATCGTCTATAAGAAATAAAACTTATAACTGTCTCTCAAACAATAATACTTGTAAAAAAAGCCTAATTCTTACCGACAAAAACTGCTTTGATCGCATCTTTTGAAGTTGTTTTTATCAACTGCATCGACAAGGAACGGAGAACATAGTAATATTAAAAATAGAGCTAACCTGAAAAGAGTTTTAAGCATAAATTAAACACTTGCTGAGATATAATACATGTGTATTTTACTTAAACCGTAGATATTATGATAAAAATAAATTATATTTATTGGTGAGCATTACATTGTAATTCTATTTTATATTATACTGGACAATTTAAGACGAAATACTGCAAAAAACGCGGCAACAGATTACATAGCAATAATGACGTGGAACTGCGAAATTCTATTATGTATAGATATCCATATCGTATTTTTTTAGCGACCGATTAGATTAAATCCGTAGTTGGCGCAATAAATTCATTGAAAAAAAATATTTGTATCAAATAAGATATTGCGGAAAGAAATACGTAGACAATATAAAGACAATAATAAAAGGTCATCAGAAAAAACCGGCGAAATTGCTGCGTTAACTGCAAACGTCACAAACATGATTTCTGTATGCCTACGATAAATTCTTCGTCGTATAATTAAAAAGTTGAAAATCATTACACTCACCGCACATATGAAGCCATACTTGACAAGAAATAATTACTGATATCACCTTCGTCACCAACGAGGCACTGTTGAAGACAGCCGTCACGGATAAAATTTTCGTCACGATCAAGTGAAGAATGATGTTACCAACCGTTTTGATCCACTGTTTCCCACCCAAAAATTAACACACCCGAACGCCAAAATATATACTTTATTTTTTGACAATTGAAGATTCTACCTATGCTAAAAATTGCGGGAGATAATAAAATTATTATTTTAGTCCAAAATTATTATTTTAATCCAGTGTATTCACTGGAAATATTATGCTCTTCTCTTTATATGTTGGTTATAACTTTTATTTTAATTCACGCGATATATCGTGCAAGATTGAATTTATATAATATATAGATGTGGCGTGATGTTATTTGCCGAAATTTTCTATATTTAAATGAAGTATTACAATAAACTTATATTTTGATCATTTTATCTAACGTCTGCTAAAACATTAAATTTCGAATATTATTTTCATAAATATATAATAATTAACGATAACGTGTACGATTTCAATATATGTACTTCGAAAATCGACATATCACAAATCGCTCGAATTTAATGTAATAGTCGAAATAATATTCATGTTTCAAATAGAATATCTTAATTAATAATATAAACACGTACAATACAAATATCAATTCAAGCAATTCGTAAAGGGCGTTATATAATATTACGTCAAAAGAAACTTTAGGGTTATGTTCAAAAATCCATCCTTCAAAATGCAGAATTTGACCGACCAATCGGAGACCGAAGATCTTTTTGTCCTGATTGGTCGAGCGCTTCAACCTAGGTGAACATATTTCCGAACACAATTTAGAATGCTGCCATCTGATGCACTTTGCAGTTCATGATCAACATCAAGTTTGCGCGCTCGTCGTCGGTCCGCGTACTGTACGAGTGTCTTAATTATTTTTAATTAATTAATGTCTTTACGTGCGTGTGTGTCGTTATAAATTATCGTATAAATTTGATCGCGTCGCGTGTATCGACATCGTGATCGCGATCGCTCGCACGAAATCGATCTCGTCAGCTATGAATCTCTCGCCGTAACCATCAAGCCGTAACATTCGTTCTCCCGAAAACGCTTGTCACGTGACGCGTGACGTCACAGCTCCGGCTCGAACCGCCAAAAGTTCACGCGCGCGAGTTTAGGACGGATCGCGAGAATTATCGGGCGCTTTTGGCGTGAAAATTCTCCGAGTTTTTCGGCGTCGTCGATCGTACTTCAAGTCGGAGTTTGCGCGTTTCCGGTCGTACTTTCGCAGTATTGTATCGAAGTATCGTTACGCGACATGTTAACTTGCAATATTCGCAAAAATTGCAGATCGATTACTACGGTCGATGACTACGGTCGCGCCGCCATATTTTATTGTTGTAGAATCTCTCGCGGCGTCTCGAAATACACGCGCTTGACAATAAAAATAATAATCAGCAAAGCTCCTGCGCGATTTCCGGGATTTCTTTATCGTCAAATATTCAGTGAAACAGAAAATATAGTGTGTCTAGTGTCCAATTCGGGAATATCGGTTGACTCTTGAGTGCGCCGTGTGGGGAAGTCGCCTTTGTCGTTCGATAATTAGAGTTTACGAAAATGTAATAGCTAAAACTCGGACGTTGTTGCGCGTTGCGAACGAAAAAGTAACGCGAGTGTAAGTGTTTCGAAGTTTCTACGAGAGGAGGAGGAGACCCGGGGCGGCATCGGGCATCGCCGAAGCAATTATATGGTAAATAATATTAATTTATTATACTGTTATTTATTTATTATTTTTTATTTAGTTTAATTAATTAGAATATTTATAGATTTTTTTACATAGAGATATGAAAGATGAGATATGAAATGAAAGATTTTACACAAGATATTTTTATACATATAATAATTATAAAAAAAATATTGTTTAGACTATATAAGAAAAATTAAATTTTTACTTACTATATTTTATAAAATAATATATCTAAAAATTTTTTAATAAAAATAATGTAATGTTTTTAATTAAATATTTATTTAAAAATTGAAAAGGATAGAGCTTATTTCCTTCAATATTGCCTTTCTTGATATATATAAATAAAATGTCTCTTTATATTTAATTTAATAAACTTTAAAAAAAGCGCACTCGCGTGTTAATATGTTCCTGTTTTCTCAAAGCAATATGTTATTTATTATAACTTGTATAGTGTATGTATAATATAATTCTCATATAATTTGTTTAACAGGTTTCTGAGAACATCCCTGTGCTGATTTCACACGAGAATTCCAGGATAAAAAGAGGCATTTTTCGGTTAGTTTATTTTACAGTAAATTTTAAATAAAAATTGATTGCATCTCATCGACAGTGAAAATTTTGTTGCATTTATATGATAAAAAAGTTACGAAATATATATATTTATAACTTGTTTTTCTTAAAAATAAATAACTGATTTTATTTATAATACATCAACAAATCTTTGGCATTGTTTTTGCCAAATTCTTTGCCATTCTTTTTTTAACTAAAAAAAAAGAATAGATTACACAATTATTTATTAAATAAAGATTAATTAACATAAATAAAAGCTACTCAAATTTACTGTAAAAGATTATTGATTCCATTAGCAAAGATTATATAATTTTTTTATTATTTAATAAATATCTAAATTAATTATAATTTAATAAACATCTTAATTATAAATTAAATTAAAAAATATATTTTTAAAGATGTCTTTATTATATAATGATACTTACATATTGTAAAAATTTTTATTTTTAATTATATTTGCAATATAACAAAAATGATATTAAAATGCAAAAATGTATACATTTGCATATGAAACAAATATTTAGAAATATTTGTTTAAAATGTATCAGTAATGTAGTTAGTAGAAATCAATCATATAATATATTGTATAAATGATAAAATTATAATATAAGGTAAGTGATATGATGAATAATAAATTAGACCGTGTTTACTTAACATCGCACATTCAATTTATTAGAATTAGAAGAGTAATGCATTCAGTCGGCAGGGAAAATACAGTCCTATGGTAATTATATATTATTGATTATAGAAGTTTGGCACTCAGATCAGTTCACTTTTGGTGGATGTAAAAAAGCCTAACGGTTCGTCTCTAGCATATTCATGAATCAACGAACGGGTGTCTCTCTCTTTCTCTCTCTTTGTCTCTCTCAATAAAACATTTTTAATTAGAATCTATTAATGCATATGCTATATGAATCCATGGAACGGTACATTCTACGTAGTAGTGTACGCATTATAATATATATATGTATATACATATCGTTATGATCGCTATAATCAACATTCACATTAGACTGTTTTATTAGATACGCTTCTAAGATTTTTGGGGGAAATTATTAATCCACTTTCGGCCAGACGTTTGCTTCTCGCGATAAAATATGCACTTTCTTCTTTATTAATACATTGTAGTTTTACAATTAGTTTGAGCCAATACAAAATTTGTCTTTTCTCTTTTAAAAAAGACGAAGCTTCGAATTAATAATAGCAATAAAATGAGGATGCGCGATTTGTATCTAAATCTGATAACAATAAATGATCGCGCATCTTTTGATAAAGAAAGGCTGATGCCTCTTTTTAAGTATTTTTTAAGTACTTAAGTATTATTATCATTAATATATAGAGCACATCGTATATATACCATATAATTTTAATGTAAGAGAATAACCTCATTGATTTATACAAATTTTAAACAATGCTTATTCGGTCTGATTAATTTATATATTCGCTTCATTGACATCGATAACATTAATATTACAATTTTGTTAATATCGCTGGCACATAATTTTATAACAATGTCTAACACGTCACGTTTAATGTCAATTCTCTTTCCCATTTCTTTATATATATAATTTTTTTTTTTTTTTTTTAATTAAGTGAGAATTTAGTGCGGTTCTGTTGAATCACGCAACATTGGCCGGAAGCGGATCTGTTAAGGTTACCGTGAGTTTGCGCAAGAATAACTTAACGTAAAATTTTTCTTAAAAATCAACGAACTTGTCAACACACGCCTTCGTTAACAAATCTCTCTCATTGTCAGATACTGAAACTGCGCACGCACAACCCCGTTCATCGCTTATGAATTACGAACTCGCCGCGCGTCAATGTATTTCATAGTAGGAAAGATCTACTCTCATACTCGTATAAAAAACAGCTTCTAGATTTCGATCGTTACTGATGATTCGCATTTAAGATTAAATAATTCTATTATTTGGCATCGTCTAATAGTAATCTATATCGCTCGCTACAGAAGACGAAACGGATAAGAATTGTGAAAATTTCTTAGGCGATTCTAATTTCAAGATAATCATTGTGATGATTTGTCGTGAAAAAAATATTGAAATAGACGATTCGCAGAAATATCGATTAATAATGATTTAAGTTATTATTAATTACGATAATCATTTGATTACAATTTTTTTACAATCTGTTGCACGACATGTTGCTATAACGAAACAATTCAACGTATTTTACTATAAAGCTAAATCGCCAATATTGCATTGTCATAAAAAATTATTCCTGCGACTCGACTTTTTTACATTTTGGATTCCGACAAATGTTTATTGACAATTTACGTTTACTTGCATGATACGAGTAACATCGAAATAGTCGGAATAATACGATAGAAAAAATGATCGTATACGAGATATTGGAGCAAAATAAAAGTTTAACTTGGACAATATATGGTGGTATAAAAGGGGGGATATGTCCACACAAATTCGAGTACAGTTAATAAATGCATTCATTTGAGTCAAGTGACATTTGCTTTAATGTCAAATGACAAGTAACAGGAACATACAGACGTTCGATTACATTATACGCATTTGATCATTTTACGATAGTGTCACAAAGTTCTTGTATCCTGATTATTCATTTCTATTTTCTTTGTTTGTAATTTAAGACAGAGCGAAAGTTCCGCTTCTTTTTAAGCCTTAATACTTCGAATTTATTTGAAATTTACGACAGCAAGAATCAATAAATGCCATTTTTATAATTCTTATTTATCTACATTTCTAAATTTACAAAAAGTGTAAAAATGGAAGAAGGTGAAGGAACTTAAAAGCGATTATATGAATTGTTCTGAAAATCTGCACTCTAAAACGAGGCAGTAAACCGACGGATCATTTGCTTAGACCAGAATTAAATTTATCGCAAAAGTCTTTAATGAATAATTGATTTGCCTTTTTAATGATCGAATTTATTTCGATCCGCCGAAAAGGGAAGGGACATAGAATAGATATACGAAAAATCGACGTATTGTGATTAGTGGAAAAAATGTCAGCAGAGTCAGACATCTTTCAGGCACATTGAGCTCGTGATAGCGGCGATAGTCGTAACATTCAAGGAGATCTAGCTTCCTGTTTATACCGTTTTAGGCTAATAATACACGAGACACTGCGAACTATTCCGCGATTTATCGATCATTATCGATCGTTTTCAATCCGTAAATCTCCTATAGTTAAGGAGTCCCTTCGTTTTTTTTTCGATTATAATCGGATGCATCGACACACATATCGACTCGGTCACTAAATACTCGCCACAGCATCGAGCGTCATCTCACTATAACTCGATACATATATGTCTGGCGCGATGATCTCGAATCTCGACGAACGATTTCCATAAATTCCTTCGCAGATTTCACTTTCCTTAGGCACATTAAGTCCGTGATATCCACGATAGTTTCTCGATTCTCGCACGAAACACGCCAGGAGACGCTACGGTTTTTTTCGCGTAAACCGCAACGTGTTTCTCTCCTGCTAGACCCAGTACTGATCCCTCCTCAGCAACGGGTTCTTCTTGGTCCTTTGAGTTGTGGCCGACTGGCAAGGTAGATCGGAAGTATCGAAACTACTCCACTCGTCGCCGTCCGCCACCCCATAGGGATACCTGGCGGATACGTCGACCTCTGAGCCGCTTTCCAAAGGACTCAAGGGTATCACTTTACATTGGGGTAACGTTGAGGGCAACATCGGCAAAGGCGTGCTAGCCGTTACGCTATTGTGATCGTTACCGAAAGGCTTCAAGTGCGGAGTGGCAGGCATCAGATGATCCGGCGGTCTAGGAAGCGGCATCACACCGACTGTGGGGGTGGTTTCCGGTTTCTCCTCCTCGGCGTGCTTGTATCTGTTGTGCCGGCATCTAATCGTGATAATTACAACCACGCCGAGAAGAAAGACGCCAAGCAGCATGCCGAGAATTAGTAGATAATCGTTGCTCATGTTCGGTGCGATTGCCATCTCGCCCTCATGACCCACCGGATCCATCGGACTGCCTAGGGTGATGTTGTCGTCGTCTATGTCGAGCTTGATGCGAAATTCAAAGTCACCTACGGCTGGCTGAAAGATCGACGCCGCGAGAATGAAACTGAAACTGTCCGCGACGCCGTCTATCGACGGTATTTTTCTGCACACCAGATATATCACTCCGGAAATAATTTCTTGGTGCGAGAAACGCGTCACTTCTCGTTCGCGCGTTCCTCTCTTCTCGCCGGACGACGACGAACTTCTGATAATTCTCTTGATCTTGGCGAACTTCGGTTTCCTCACAATAGTATAAAACGGATTACTCGTTGTTAACTTGGCCAAGGGAGTCGCGTCTAAATGTTGCAGAGTTATTCGATTCTTTTCGCCCGCCAACGCCGTTAAACGATTCATGATAATGAGAGGCGTAACTTTGATCTCGATGTGTATGTGTTCCTGGACGAAACCGCTCAGTCGCGCCGACAATTCTAAACTGTCATTTGGTACTGTCATATCCGTCTGCATAAATACTACGCTCTTCGATAGTAGATCGGTCTGCTTGAACATTGCCGCGGCGCCGTCCCGCACGTACAGTACTCCGTATTTCGGGTGTGTCGTAATCTCGTAGATCACCAGGTCCTGACGCGCATTCGTATCGAGTTTTATATCGTTCTCGGAGATGGGCGCTACGTTCGAGCCTTGTTGCAAACTCACCGGACCGGACACCGTCACATTCAGTCTTATAGGTAAAACGTGGACGTTGAAGACAGTATACATCGGAGTGTAAGCACCGTCCGAGACTCTGAAGTAGAAAGAAGCGGCCTGCAGCGTTCCATTATGCTCGTACACCACTCGATTAGAATCCACGTCGTACTGACTAAACTTGTTCACTTGGCGTACTTCCGACGTGTTCTGGTCGAAAGGTAATAGCAATAATCTGCCAGACGTTGGTCCCGAGATCACGTCATATGTGATATCCTGCGGTGGAGTATCGGGATCCATGGTCAAAAGATCATTTTGAGTAATAGTCTGATTTTGATTCTGCACGACCGTGATGAACGGAGTACTGGTGACGAGTTTGAAAGGTTGATCGTTAATCGGTTCGACGATGACGGGAATACTGATGTTGCAAAGTAGTACGTGACCAGGTGTTAAATATAGCGAGAATTGAATGCGATCTTCCAAGGTGTCCGAATGGTCGTGGTAATAAGCGATTTTTCCGCCCTCGACTTGCGGTTGCATAAAAGTAGTCACATTTAAATCCGGTAAAAGCATCACGTGCCCGTGACTAGGTTGGCGAACTAATTTTGATAATACTGCAGGATTCTCGATTCCGGCGTTGATCTGTAGAAACGACACGATGCCGCTAATATTCATAACGACTTCGGCGGAGCTACCTTCTACGACTCTGACATTTTTGACAGAGATATATCGGTCCAGACCGCCGCTCGAAACTGATATATCTATTTGGAAAATCTGCAATATATAAAGTACATAATTAAAAATAAATAGTTGCACAAAATTATGATAAAAATTGCAATTATTAATTATAAATTAAAAATGTGATTTTTTTAACTTACTGAAAACATATATAAATCATATTTTTTGCAATTTATAAGATCATAAAGATATATTATAAATTATATTCAAAATGTTGAATTTCTTAACTTATTAAAGAATATAAATAATAATGTTTCTTGCAATTGATAAATTGAATTTATGGATGAGAAAAGATTAAATATTTAATAGTAAATATCTTGTATCGCCAGTGATGAATAAAATTAAAAATAAATGTGAGACGACCCAACTGGCTTAAATTAATTCTTATTATTATTAGTTTGATGCCATGTACAAGAAAAGACAACGTTTCGACCTTAGGTTTAGGTCCTTATCAAGTCTTACAAATTCTTTAGTGCAATATATAATTAATTTTTTTTGGTTCGTCTTTACCATCCATACTGAACGTTTACGTGACACAGTATTTATATTGAAATATGTAAAATGGAAAAAAATTAATTATATATTGCACTAAAAAATTTGTAAGACTTGATAAGGACCTAAACCTAAGGTCGAAACGTTGTCTTTTCTTGTACATGGCATCAAACTAATAATAATAAGAATTAATTTAAGCCAGTTGGGTCGTCTCACATTTATTTTTAATTAAATATTTAGTTATATTTTATATACCTGATTTGTTAAGGTTCCAGCGAAGTGCGTTTCGACGTCAAATGTAAAAGAGTCATTGGTCGCCAGGTCCATGAACTGTTTAGTATGCTCATAAATCACTTTACTGTTGTTTATATCTTTCTGAGTAAATCGCTCGACCTCGAGCCATACCCCTTCACTTGTCTCCATTATAATTTTGCCTAAATGGGGTCCATTTCGCACAGTGTATCTAATCTCCCTCGCTTCGTCAGAACACGTCGTTAATAAGAGCTTGTCTGATATTAATTTCTTAGTAAGGGGAAATACATTAAGAGGCATATTGTGTTCAATGTTCAGACGAACTGGCTTTGTCGTTATTAAGATTGTGTAAAATTCCGTCGTGTGTACTCCGTCGCTTAATACAAAGTTAAATTCGCCATCAGATCCGTCTGAAAAAATATTGAACTTTTTCATTTTTTCGTATTAAATTTTATGTTAAAAATTTGTAATTTTATTAATTAGAAAAATATTAATATCATTGATATATTAACTTGATTTCTTAAAATAATTTTCCATCAAAAATAGTTAAAAATTATTATACATTTTTTAAATATATTTTAATATCAAATTAATTAATCATTTTTATTACTCAAAATTAATCTTATAATTATTAGTATTTTATATTATATTTGTATAGTTATTTAACAGAGATCTCTAGCTATTATAAATTATAATTATAAATAAATTTTTGATTATTCTAATATTATATAGTATAATATTTGAATATTATAATATTCTAAATTTATAATATATTATAATATTCAATATTCAATATTATGATATTGAATATTATAATACTCACTCGTATGTGTAAACATCACTTGCAATTCGTTGATTTGACTCTGTGTGAAAGTATAGATGTCCATCTCGCGTGCAGTAGTTAACGAGATGTATCCGTTTCTCACTCCAGTAACATTGAATCTTATATCGTGCGGAGCGGTGTCATTGTCAATAGCCGCCAAGTTTGTCGACGTCAAGATAACGGATCCACCTTGCCAAACATGAAGTTTAGTTCTATTCACTAGTACAGGAATCTCGTCGTTAACGGGCTGAACAATGATCGATACGTCGAACGGCTCGCTTATCTTGTCACCGGCGGTGACAACCATCCTAAAGGAATCCCTTGAAAATTCGTCCCCGTTATGCTTGTATAGTATGACTCCGGCATTCAAGTGCTTTTGCGAGAATTTCTTCACTTGAGTATTCTTCGTGGAATCGAGAATCGTACCGTGTCGCGGCTTTTCCGTTATCCTGTAATCCGACAGCTTGCCAGTATAATACGGCGTTACAACCGAGAAGTTCGATTCATTTAACATCACGCTCTTGCCTTCTACGACGATGAAACTCCTCGCCTCGACGTACAGTTTTTCTGGCACGATCACAAAATTCACACTCAGACCGCGTAACCACGTGATACCGTTGGTAACGTCTACAGTGAAACGATCGTTCGTCTGATTCATCACCGATTGAACGTAGAAGACGCGACCGTCGTTTACTAGACTCTGTTCGAAATGTTTTACCGCGTTACCGCTGTACTCTTCCTTCATCTCCTCGCTATGTTCGTCGTAGATCTGTAAATCTAGATAGCCGTTTTGCGGCCACTCTCTCACGAAATAAACAATTTCGGTCGACGATATTTTAGGATGCATTATCTCGAGGCTCTTTCGACTCAGCAGGATACTCGTAGCCTCTTCGACGAATATCGTCTCGTTATTTTGAATGATCAACGATTCCCAATAACTTTCTGGATATACTTTGATCATAAACACACCATCGGCCTCCGCGCCTTTAACAAATACTTTGAACCTGAAGACATCCTTCGTGGAGGAACTACCTAGATGCTTGTACGACACAATACCATGCTTTAGATCATCCTCTGTAAAACTATTCGACTCTCTACCGTGCTTTAACAAAATACCATGCTTCGGTCTTTCCCATACAGTGTACTTGATGTCCTTCTCTGTGGTGTATACATTTGTTTCTATCTCCAATTCTTTTGATCGAAGCACTACAGACTTGTTAAATTGAACAACCGAGCCGTTGCTCTCGCGTAACCTGATATAGGGTGGACTGGCTTGAATTTCAAGAGAATCAATTTTGTAAAAATGACCGTCGGTGATACCAAATTCAATTTTTTCGCGTTCATCCCCTTGGTGCCGGAAGAGTATCACACCGTCATCGATGTCCTGTTGCGAAAACTCGCGTATCTGTACCGAAGGATTAGTTACCTTGTATATTCCGCTTTTCCTGGTATCTCGTCTGGTATAAATAAGTTCACTCGTGCGAGTACCAATATCTTTGTCTATATAAGCGAGATCCTTGTTCGTTATCAATTTTTCGCCTTTTGATACAACATGAAAAATTTTACCAATTATTCGTTCCGGCGGATTATCATTTTTCATAATGATCTCAACTCGAAACTTTCCGATGTACATAAAATCCACGGAATCCAGAGATATCGCTACAAATTCAAAGGAGTCTTCTTTCGTCTCAGAATCATCGTGCACATAATATACTGTTTGCGTCAATACATCTTCGAATGTAAAAGACGAGACGTTCTTTTGTCCTTGCGATCTAGAATTATTTGCGACGGAGAGCCAACCATGATTCGGTTTTATTGTAAGATTGTACATCAAAGAGGCTACCCCGTATTCCTTTGGATTCATATGCGTGATCCTCAGAGGTACTTTCGAACCCTCGTCAACTTTCAAATTCTCCACGCCCTCCAGCGAATTGTCGAGGTAATATCGAAATTTCAAGTTAGCGTATATATCGACGCACTGAGGTGCATTGACCTTGAACATTATTTCGTCAAAGATATTGGAATATGATCGTCTGAATAGACGGTAGTTCAGTCTTCCGGCCTCGATGTCCTCCTGCGTGAAAGTACTAGTTGTCACGAGTTTATGATCGGACAGAAATAGATCGCCGTATCTTGGTCCCGTTGTAAGAGTGAAGACGATCTTATTCAGCGATGTAACTAGTGGATTCGTCTGGTACCTCAAGTGATTACTCGTGATAATAACGTTTGACGCGTCGGTGAGATTAACAGGCATCCTTCTGGTCTCCTTCAACTCGAGATCAATGAAAGTAATACGGAAGTCGTACATCTGCTGCGTCTTCACTTCGCGTACGCTCGCTTGGAATTTAAACTCGTCTTGATTAGGGCTGCCGACGTTCTGAAGATAACGAACAGTATGCAATTCCATGTCTCGGCTAGTAAAATGATCGACGTTTATCCAACTGTTAGAGACGTCCCTCAATTTTGTAAAACGCCATAATGCGGCGGTGAGACGATATCGTAACGGATATCGATGGTGTTGTCGTCCGAATTCGTAGCAAACGAGAGATTTGCGGGTGTCAAATAAGAGAATGAACGGTGCACCACAACGAGACCGGTATTGTGTGTCAATTTGATTTGCAATGGGTAAGCTGATACGCGCAAATACGCAGGTTGACTGGTCTCGATACCGTCGCTAACTTGTAAGCCCAACATTGCATTCGGTTTGGCTGAAAGATATATTATTTTAAATATATTAGATTGACACAAAATTTTAATAAAATATACTAATAGTAATAATAGCTGCCGTGTATTTATGCGTGTACTTATACATTAAAAATTAAAAATAATTACAAATTAAAACAAAAGACAAATAAACGAATAAATATGAATAAAAGATACAGTGTATGTTGCGGGATTAATAATAAGCCATTACCATTTCCACGATGCACATAAGCAATAAGGCCTTGCATTAATTCAGCTTGTGTGAACGTGTCGATAGGTCGGAATGGAAAAGTAACCCTCTCGATGTGACCGGCATCGGTATCCGCCCGTAAAACCGTATAGATCAGCATTTCCGACGGGGTGTCGGCGTCTATAGCCCATATTAATTCCTTGGTCAGTGTTTTTCTCGTACCCTGCAAATATCAGCGTTTTTTCGCACATTTTATATTTGTCTGAAATCACATTCAGCTATAGCAGCATATTGAATGAAAGGACGCGTCGAATTGGTGAAAAAATGCGCTGTTGTTTTCATACTGACGTAAAATGCATCAGGCGAGATAGCGAATATACATCTCAATTTATATAACAATCAGATTTTTGTATTCGGAAAATTGAAAAAGATGAATCGATATATATGGATATTAGAGAGAGAGAGAGAGAGAGAGAGAGCCTGTTTTTATTTCAATATTATATAAGAAATATTTAATATATATTTGTGTCAATTTATGCATTTATTAGCTATAACATATATTTTTAATATAATTTCTCTCTACAAGTTGTAAAAATATCCATATATAATGTATATAAGGTATATATTATATTATGTATGACAAATATTATACATGATAAATCAAAGAGTTAATAGCTAAATTATTTACTAGAGCTTTAGTATTTGCTGAAATAACTGTAATACTGACTGTAATAATAACAGCTCGATGTACATACAGATGAGATTAATTCACCGCAAATTACAATCGCAATTACAATTTCTGAGTTCATATCGCGATTATTCCGTTCCGAGAATATGTATCAGTATGATATATGAAAGAAACATTCGTTATGCGCATACATGATACATGCATACGCATACCCTCGAACTTACACGCGCGGTTAATTAAGAGCGATGACCGAGCGAGTTAAATCGATTTCGCTGCGGCTAAATTGCCACGTTCTACGAAGATGCACGAGCTATAAGTAAACTACTATTTCATTCGGCCCCCATTAATTGATTTAGTTGAGTAGCATGAACCGGCGGTTTTGTTTCAGTCAAATCAGATGCAACGTGTTTCGAATTAGCGCGGTGACAGTAAGAAAAAGTGCATCGTGTAAAAAGCGTCTCGAAACGCTAAGCCAAAAAAAAGGAAACTTATACAGTTTATTTTTGTGCCTTACTTGAGCCAGACGTAGTACTTTCGCGGTTGGAATCTCGAGCAATGGCGGATCGTTGACAGGAGTGACATTGACGTGAAGGGGGAATCTGAGATGTCCTTGTAGGTATCCTGGGAGTGTATAGCCTGTCCCGGCCACCAATGTCAATTCCAGAATCATGCTGTCCTCTGTGGTTTCGCTACCGTCATGCATGTACTCTATCTGTCGGGACAAGTCAATTATCGTAAGAATAATGTTATCAACATTCTCGTAGAGATTTAGGCTAACGTAACGCGGATTTTTCTCGTAAAACGTAGAAAACTTGAGTAATTTAAAAAAAACTTTTAAACTTTTTATTGAATGTTTTTTAAAATAAATATTTCTCTGAATCGTAAAGAGAATAAACGATGTGTTAATTTGCGTTAGGTTGCGTTTCCTACGGTTGCATTGTTCCGCGATGTAAATTTGCATACGAAAGAAAAATCGCACGAGTGTCAGTAATCTGTAAAATAAAGCTATTGTATCGCGGTATCAGTAAGAGACAACCTACAACGAGGAACGTGTGGACTTTAACTTGCGGTGACTCGCCGTTTCGCTGAGAATCTCAAACGGCAAACACACACTACATCGTGCTACGGAATCAGAATTAATCATGGGCGAGTACACCAGACTCGTGTTATCCTTTCTGGCGTTTGATCTGACACTCGAGATCGACCGCGGTTGAAATTAATTAGAGCGACCGGGGGGTTAAGTTGGCGGTCGTCGCGTCGATTAGCATATCGAGTGGGCGTCGTCCCCAGCGTCCGAGTCAAGACAGAGGGAAGATGCGAGCTTTCTCTCCCTCCTGCCACCCTCCCTTTTCTTCTTTTAACGATTAGAGAGCAATTGATAGATCGAGCGAGTGAACGAATGCGACGATGGATAAAAAACGGCCGATAATGTGATCTCTAACGAAAAACCATTAATGAGCGGTGGCGGAGCGATTTATAAATAGAGCACTGTCGCTAGATAAATTGAGTGTGGAGTAGTGGAGGAGTATATAGGCACGAGCGAGCGCGCAGCAAGTCGGCCAACCCTCCGTGTTCCTGCCAACGATTCTAAAGTTAGTCCTTGCGGCGGGTACTATGTATAGCAGCGCGTGGTCCTATGACGAACTGGAAGAACACATGACTTTCCACGGCGCCTTGTAAGGTCTACGGGAGGGATCGGCCGGTCGGCCGGCCGGCCTCTCGAGGCCGCATTTAGTTACCTGATATTAATTAGTGTCAGGTGCACGCCCCGACTGAGTTTCGCCTCTTACACGTGTCCCCGCAAACTTCTCGGCGATTTCGAGCTTTATCGTCACACGTGTTAACGACAAGTGGACATTAATATCGTGGCATTCGTTATGAACGTCGGACTTATGTCGATTCGAGAAGTTCTGAGCGCAGTAATTCGAGAATTGACAAATCGAGAATTCAATAAATTGATCGATTACCTTATCTTGATTGATATCCTGTAATGTGAAGGAGTGATCGCTTCGGGATGTTAAAAGGTCCAACGCCAGTGTTCCGTAAATTGGCGGTGTCACCAGAGTGAACACGACGTTGTTTTCTTCCACGCCGTATTTGGCAATGTCCAATACCATCACGATGTTTTCATTCGTTACTAGCACGTGTTCCCCCTCGGAAACTAGTAGAGGGCTCAGTGAGAGAATTTCCAAGTTTACAGGTAAGGTGGCATTCGAATAGATCTGTAAAAGCCCCATATCGTCTCTTTATTAATTATAAATGCAAATATTATGTAGTCTTAAATCTCGTGCGTTCAATCTTCAATATTAAAAATATCTCGATAAAATTTATAGAGTTTAATATCTAATATTAATTACATAAGTGATAATCGTTAAAAAATAATCGATATATAGTATCTTGATTAAGTTAGTCACATGCATATAATATCATACGTTAGCTGTCGGTGACATAATTAACTCGCAACCGCAACGTAACCCTCGCCAAGTGGACGGAACATCATTGAGAGAAATTTGATTAAAATTGATCTACCTTGTAATCCTCGGCGTAATTCGGTTTGATGCACAGCGACTGGTCGCAGTTGCACTTAAATGAATTGACGCCCAGCTGCATGCACGACGCATCAGATACGCAGGGATCAGCCTCGATGCACGGATATCCCCAGACGCATCCAACGACGATACCTTGACTGACCTTGACGTCTGGTAAACCGAGACCCTTATTGTCCAGCATCATGTTTCGTATACAGCCCTTGTAGCTCACATCGCCAGATCTGAGACCCTTGCCTAAAGCACGAGCGCGTTTATTCAGCTCCGTGCCGCCAATATACAGGGTATCGGCCAAATCGAGAAAACGATTGCCACCGGACGGCAGGGCCATTGTTCTCTCGTGATGATCGACGGCGATGCCGAGACCGTTTGGATTGAAGTCCACGATTACGTTGTGCCATTTACCATCAGCTACCACGGTGCCGTGTATCAGTTCGGTCGGGCCGTTTCCCTTGTTCATCAGCAATCGTATTTTACCCTCGAACAACTCGATACCGAGGAAATCAGCGTAGGATGATTGCCCGGTGTTGTAGAGCAATAGGCCGCTCTCAGCATTGGTCTTCAGTTCGAATTCCCATCTGCAAAGAATCGTCAGAGAGGATTGGCAGGAAACTTCGTTACTATCCTGGAAGAAAAAAGGAGTATCGGAGTCGTCCCCGATATCCGAGAGTTTGAATCCGAGTCGTTCGATTTTATGATGCCTTAGTGGAGAGAATATCTTTCTAGATAATGCTGCTGATGCTAGAGTAGTATTGACTATAGAAAATTCCGACTATTGCGTATCTTAGTAATCAGATTAGAATTTCGCGGTTGATTTCTTCGATTCACAAGTGCTGCAATCGATGTGGCGAAGCAGTAAAAATACTGAACGAGAAATTTACGCGAACTGGTTGAGCGTGACATTGTCGAAGATAGCGTTCCGTTATGAAACGAGAGAACGGATTATCTTTTGAAGAGCGAACCACAATCCAGTTGCAGCTAAATCCTGACAAGATATGTAAAATTCTACGATTCTAAGAGATATAAAATATAATAATAATAATCGATATATAAAACATAAAGAAATTCAAAAATTGATTAGTAATTTAATCATTTAAATTTTCATACAAATATTGTTTCTACAATAAGAGATAGTTTGTATGTTTTGTTATTCGTTTAATCATTGCTTCTTAGATGGTGTTCAGATCTCACGCTGCAGAGCGCGATTAAGTAGGCAAAACATTATTCGTGCAACACGAGTTAAACGAGCGAGGCAATGCGAACAATGGTAGAAGAGGGAAAAGGGAAGATTGCTCGCCGTGAATTTATAATTGTAATCAAATCAAATTTCGCTCGGTCGACTTCTACTCGGAAAACTTTGGAACGAGTGATTTTCGTATCTTGTGCGCAAAGGCGCCACGACTGCTGCGAACACGAAAGCCGATTATTTACTTCAGCGGGCGGATTCATTGCTTTTGAAGTAAGTACAGCAAAGAGTTACACACATACAATAGCGGTTACAGATGCAGACTTTCATTATAATAGCAGACATAATGCCATAGAATAACAATAGCAATATCTACTGATAAATTAGAGACAAAATTATCATTGTAGGTTTCCAATATTATTTGTTACATTATTGTATAATAAATATTACATATTTATACAATAAATATTAATATATTATACAATAATGTTACATATTACAACAGATAATTACAATATATGAATTTATTGTTCTAATTAATATCTCGACGATTGTCATAATTTTTCCCTTATTTTCTGCATTTTTATATCATTCTTCACTGATGGCATAGTAAAAAGTCAAAAATAATCCGTAATGTTAGAATATATAAATAAATTTAGCACGAGATGTTACCGCGTCTCTTGACACACGTGTGTTATAATTAAGCTTCGAGCCAAGTTTAATTGTGTGAATCACAATTATCGAGAATTATGTCATCGTTTAACTCTGTTAAATGGAATTAATGAAGATGCCCGATATGTTAGTACGTGTCTTACTACACAATACAGTTCGCAACGGTTGTAGGCAAACGTGTACCTGTGCGAATTGTAAACGCAATTAGTTGTGTACATGCTGGAGGCACGTAAGGACGTTCTAATACGGTCCGCTTGTGTTTCTACGTTCCTCATCAGTCAATGCTTGGTTTTCGAAAGGGCAATGTAACGTGTGTTTGCGTGTGCTCTTTTCATAATTGATTTAAAAAAAATTAAACTCGTTCGAAGAATTGCAGCGGTTAAAATTAAAAGAAATTTATCCTCTTAAAAACCTTTTCTTTCTATTTTTTTCAAGTTTTATGAATTTAAATTGAATAACAATATAAATATATATTAAACAACTTGATGTTAAATATAATATTAAATGTAATATAATAACACTTGATAATTATAAAAAAATTGATAAGTTAGATGACGATAAACGGTGAACAGGAATTACAGTTATTGGTTTGAATAGAGATAACTTGAACGTCGGTACAAGTCATGCATATACACACACGTGGCATTTGAATCTTCCAGATCAATTGAACTGAGAGAGCGCATGTCGAAATCTTCACGGTTCATCGACTTCACGTAGAATGTCATGAAAGGAAGACAGTTACGATTATCCAGTCATCCACTCGATTCCTATCTATTTATCCGTTTCTCGATGAGACATATAGTATATACCGCACGTAGTACTCGTATTTGTGTCCGATACGAGGAAAGAGGTCGCAGAGTTTCTCCTCAAACATTTAATGCGAAAAACTGGACTAGTTCTTTGCCTAGCTTTTAGTCGGATTATATACATTGTATAACGCAACAGGTTCCAACATTTATTTTCTCAGATAAGTGTTGAATTAAGGTACTCCACCCGGAAGTAGTGCGCTTTTAATTCGGGGCAACAAAAGAGCTGGAGTATCTACGTCCGGAGATTCCGCGATCCCATAAGACATGTGAAACCGTGCAGTAACCAGGACTTAACTACCTGTATATGAAGACTGGTATTAACTGCGCTTACCCGATGCACACCGCATTCGTGTGAAAATGAAACGTTTTTCCGCTTCTTAGTGCACCCTTGAATAATTTTCGCGTGGACAATGTAGCGAAGATATACACTTGGCTCGGGCGAGGTTTTTAGTCTCCTCGGACGTGCTTAGCATTTTCGTGCCATTTTGGTCGCCCGAATAAAGCATTGAATGAATCTGCATTTTTCGCGAAAGATTAATAATCCTCTTCTCTTTCCAAAAAGATAAATTGTAAGCAAAATATAGTTTGCTATATTATTGAAAACGTACATCCTAGTGTGTACAGTTTTTTCTTAAACATGCTCTACATCTCTATTGCTTTAATTTATAGAAACAAAAGCTTTCTAGTCTGAGATAATTCGAGAAATACTGGAGATGCGACAGATTGTAATGTATGCAATCTTTCCGTAAGAAATTTGTAACATACATACTTGCATATATTTATACACAATCAGAGATAAAAAATGACGCGCTTGCGTGTCTTAAAACTTTTTAATTTTTTTTTAAGAACACGTTATAAATATTTTCCATTATACTCTGTAAATCAGCTTCTCTTTATTAATAAATATAGTATATATTTTCTTTTATTTAATATTAAGATTACCTTCTAGATCATCTGCTTTAATTAAATATTAAATAATGCTTTTACATGTGATTTAAAATTTAATAATATTATATTACACATTGTATTAAAAGAGCTGATTGAAATTATTGCTTTGTACGAGTTACATGAATTTATCATTCAATAAAATTGTACTCTGCCTGTCTCTGTGTATGCACACCGCGATATTCATATATAAATAATGATTCAAGGCTCTACGTATTTCGTGAATAGTATATTAATTCCACAAACGACTACTTTCATTTAAGTAGCTTTATCATTATGAGCTTTCTAGTCAATCGCCTGTCCTCATCTCGAAGTACTTATATACCATACTGAAAAGAGAGATCAAAGTGTCTCTATTGACGAAGTGTTGCTGCTTGTCTCGTTGCGAGAGTTAACGGCGACGTAACTCTCGCGATTGAAACAGTTGTTTCCGAGCTTTTCGAGACGATTTAACAACGCTCTCACGGGTTTAGTGCTCGTTAAAAGCTGCGCGAGAGATGAAAGTGGTAGGAATCGCGTAACATGAAAGGCCTCTGACCGATGACTTGAATGCGGTGTGGATGTAGATATACAGGCAGGGGAATGCGAGTTATGCGACCTCGCCGCCGACCTCGGTGAAACGGATTTCCCGCGGCATTACCATAAGATATTGGATTCGTGAACCAACGTATTTATTTTACGCGATGGTGCGCGCTAGAGTAGCCGGTAAAATTGGAGCATTGTCTCATATGTCTCGTAAGAAAAAAAAAAAAGAAATAGGAAAATAACTCGAGCTTGTGAATGTTGAGTTTTATTATATCTATGAAATTTCTTTCTTCAACCTGCATTATTATCGAATAAATTTAAAGCTAAGTAATGAAATAATAATAGCTCGATGTAATATTTTAACAAGATACGGATATCGTACCCTTTCTTGTATCGGTATAAACATTATTGGAGTGAAACAGCTGATAGGGGTTGTTGCGTCGTGACAGTTTAATTACGTTTTCCATGGTTTTGTATGTGCGAGGCGATGGTAAATGGAAGCGTATACATCACAACGGAAAGCGGTACTTTTGGTATATATACCTTGAACCGGAGCGCGGAATGGGACGCGGAATGGCGACGAAGGCGCCGTCCTCGACGAAGCTGACTTCCGTGCTTCTCGTAGCGTCGAATTCCGGTGAACAACCCCACGTTACGGCTGTTGCCTCCGACTGGCCCTTCCTCGATCTCGCGTATTCTATAACTTTGGCGCCGTTGTAGATTATGTCAGCCATGCATCCTCTCAGATAATCCGTGTGTCCTGCGAATCAGACGGGCCAAGAATTTTAGTCTAGCAGATGATTCTCGATAAGTTTAATATACGCGCGCGTTGACAGTGAAAAGGGACGAAAGGGCGTGAAATGGCAACGCGAACTTTGTGGAGATGCGTTCGCCTTTTGAATAAATTTGCTAAATATGTTCAAGCGTTTTATAAATAGAGCTTCGTAGGTGGTGTCCATTAAACATTATATTAATGAGGTCATTATTGATTCGCGTCGCTTGAAATGTTACGTAGAAATATAACCAGGTACGATTCTAATTCTAAATAAATATGAGTTTTTAAATAACTACAAATATAACCTTATTCTTCTGTTAATTAGATCGTTTACAATAAATGAATCTAAGTAAAAACTAATTATAAACGATTAATTGTGACATGTTTAATATTAATCGCCACACAAGCATAAGCGACTTTTTTCAACTTATTTTCTTATGAGAAGAAATTGTAGCGAAAGATTGAAAACGTAACAAAATTAAATTTTCCTGTCTGTTTTTGTTTTATTGTAAGAGTTATCTTTAAAATACAATTTCGTCGAGAAATCAAAATTTCCTGGAACGTAACGTTGTCATCTTCATAATCATGAAGAAGCAAGTTATACATACATTCTGTACACGATCTACTCATCCGAGACAGATGCAACGGATTCGGCGAAATCGGTGGTTTCGCGTCGCGCTTGGTTGCTGGCGACACGAAGTTATAATTGTCTTCGTGTGTAACTCGAGAGCATCTCCGGAGTAAGTTGATGGATTATCCTCGAATGCTATGGCGTGTCGATGACCATACTCTCATTCTGCACGCGACAGAAATCGACGAAAGATATGTGTATATAAGTGGTCCGAGAGCGGGCGTTTATTGGCACGCCGCGGAATCGCGGAGACAGTTTGCGATGGAATACCGGCGGTTACGCTATAAACTCAGCTTCGGTCTCTATTTACTACGTCGTTGCGGCGTACCCCGATCGTAGCCCCGCGACACCGTTGTCGGTCTTTAGCTCTTTTTACATAATGCAAAATTTTATTGATTGATAAGATGTTCTGGCGCACCGCCAATCTCCCGCCTCTCATCTCTTCTCATTGCGCTGCAGGACAGCGGTTTATACGCGTCTCTAAACATTGGCGGTGTGGTTGGATTCGCCCAGCATGGATGCTGCGACACGTCGCGTCGGGGCGAAATAACGATTTTCGGAAGATAGATTTGCATGGGTAGCGGCAATGATATTTTAGTGGTCTTATTTTGATGAAGCGCGCGTTGGCTTTAACAAGCATTGGTTTTGTCGGAATCGCGGGTTAAATGGAAATACTCTTCCATTATTGAATTTTTCTTCGCTCTCTTAATTAAAAACGTTTTCACCTCCTCTATCTCTTCATTATACGACATTCAATAAACGTCTGAATTATAGACGTGTTAATAAGAAATTAATATACCTGCGGTAAAATAAAGACAATGCAAATTTCATGTTTATTGAGAACATACATCCTACATATTATATGGAATAAAAAAACGACACATAAAGAAATTATTTTAATCGAGGAAGAAAGGATGAATTCCTCGTTGCAATTTGAACTTAGACATCACAAGGTAACAATCATATTGGAAAACTGTAAAATCGCAAAACAAATTTTTGCAATAGCAAGATTACAGATAAATTTATAATTTATATGTATATAGTAAAACAAGAGAGTTTCTTGTAAAAATATTAGATGTTTTAATCATATTAAAATATGTATATGGTATACTTTCATTGATTTCGCGCAGTTATCAAATATATGTTGTGCGGTGAGAATATTCTCTCTATTTCTATGGAGGCGAGTAAATAGCGGCCGATAATCCACGCCGAGAATCTTGCAATCGATTGTATAGGTGTACGCTTGCATTGTACAATTTTGCACGTGTAAGTACGCGTTTACTTATACAGATATGACTAGAGATACGTACACATAGATACGTGTATGTGTGTGTAATGTATATCTATCTCTCTCTCTCTCTCTCTCTCTCTCTCTCTCTCTCTCTCTATACACAGTGTTTCAAAATGTGTACAATTAAAACAGTCTTATATGTATATATGATATAATTTGCATTTAGCATTCCCATTGAAATTATAAATTAAACTTTAAAATTAAACTTTAACATCAAGCAACTAGAAATGTTATCTCGTTAACATGAAATGGAGATTTATTTTATTTCAATAGAAACTTATCTTGATGTTTAATCACTGGTACGTCGAAAAGCTCGAACTCAAGAAGGGAAGAGTTAAATCTTCTGTAAAGAGGAATCTATTGCAAACTACTTCAAGAATCCTATAACTCTGCAAGTTGATACTATTTTCGGGTCTTCTGCAACCCTATACAGAGTCTGTACCATAAAATGAATGTTGCACCCTCTTTCGAATGCCGGAGCGAGAGTTGTCTCTCTTTCTTTATTCTTAGACTCGAGAATTTAGCGAGACTCATGCTAGAGAATTAATAAGACCTTCTCCAAGGAGTGGGCCACGGAGTACAAATGAATTGTCATGAATATGTAAATTGAATTTCGAGCTGGTCGGCGAGTATTATGCGTGACGGTCGACGGGATAACGATGGGGGCGCGTCTACAGGGAGAATAAGGGAGACAGAGAGAGATGGAGATGAGGAAGAGAGAATGATGCTGTTTGCGCTCTGATCGTATTCAATTTCGTCCGCGTCAATTCAAACGGAACGACTTGGTTGAATTTTTTTTTAGTTTTGCTACCAAGAAATGATAACTAGACCTGGCTGCAGCTGATGTGCCGGGCCTGCATTAAAGAGCCCAGTCGTTATGAAGCTGTTTATGGCACATATGAAACACGAAGAGCGCAATCGTTCGGGCATAAGAGCCAAGTTTTATTCTAAACAAGTCATATACGCGCGCAGACACATGCACGTATACACATAGGAGAGAAAATCGTGAGCACAACGCTAAAATTGTGCATGTTATAAATGCTGGTTACACCTCTGAATTTATGAATTCTTATTCCTCGCAAACTCTTAAATTTCTCGCGATTTTTACGTTTCCACATTCCCCTGCAAAATACTCTAGCAAAATTACTTTCTAGCGTGTTTTAAATTTATTCTAATTTATTTTAACGTAAAATATATTATTATTTTAGGGTCTCACATTTTCAGAAATACTCTAAAAATAATAGTGCGATTTTTCTTCGTGTAAGAATTCTTTTTTGTCCGCACTTTACACAACGAATTGAAAATAGAAAAGATATCTCCGCCTTTTCTTTGTCGTCCAACTCGTAGTGTTCTATGACTGGTGGTATACTGAAGAACGTAATCTGGAATTTCGCCGCAAAGGCGTAATACAACCGAGCGTTGTATAGCTGCGAACGGTGGCTGAAGAATTTTCCAATCGCCGTTTCTCACGAAAGGACGTATCGCACGACTTTCAATTTATTTGAGGTGCAAATAGAATCGCGCGAGCCCGATAATGAAATTAGGACTGGCAACAAGATTATGAACGTAATCGATTTCACGAATATATTTTCGCGATTGGGCGAAAGTTACACACGGGCGCGGAAATACAGACGTTTGAAACGCTGATCGCGCGATATTTCGAACAGTAATTACGACCATTACTGTTGCGCGAGACGAGTATCGTTACATGTTGCCGTTAATACAACGAAAACAAAGGCAAATGTTTGAATTACATGTTCTCGTTCGTGCGATTTTGTGCAACGCGCGTTCTCGGTGCTCCATTATTTAAGCCGTGCCATCGCGGAAACACACGAGACAGCGCGTATGTCATACTTTCGATATGATATCAGCTGCTGTGCCGTTGTAATCACCCGTTTTCGTTCGCTGTCACGACTCAGCATGTGATGGTAAACAATTGTCTCGCTATTATAATTCGCAACATTATTATTCAAAGTAATCATTCAGAAAATGCGTATTGTGACTTTTTTAATGATTTACTTACATAAATTTCCTTTCACGTATAAATTTGAAAAATTAAAACACATTTCTTATAATATTATAATTTAAATCTCTATCTTGATTAATTATTAATTCAATTTATAATACGTAACATAATTTGTTATTTCCATCTCTATCGATAGTATTTTAGACGGTTAAGCTCGTCGATCTTTCATTAATATGATTGCATTAAAAAGAACATCAACTTTCATTATCAAAGTACGCGGAAAAATTCAAGAAGAAAAGTTCTCTGATATTTCTAGAAAATATATGTGAGACATATATATATATCAAGTTTCTGTGTTGAAAAATGTTACTCAAGATTAATTAAAGATTGTTTTTAAGTGTAATATCGCGAAATGTCACAAAATTTAAATACGAAATAAACGTTGATAAATATTGAATTATTTCTCCAACAAGTTTTCTCTTTGATATTATTATACAATTGTTTTAGAAAACTTGCTTCTGCTTATTTATATAGTATAATTTCTATCCGGAGGCACTGGATACCTTCTATCTTGACTTTTTTACGCTCTACAACTTTTAATTCTCGAAAGTTATGGTGAGATTTTACTTTTAAGAAACACGACGTTTCATATTTTTTATTTATGCTGTCTTTATCCTGGGATTACTATATTACAGAAATAGTATAAAAATAACATCATTCCAATGATGTTTTGTGTCGATTGACATAGTTTTCGTTATAATTTCGTTACCGCAAATAAACTTGAATATAACACAATTTTGAGAGATAATTCATTAAGATTTCATGATCGCATTATAAATTTGTCTTATATATCATTGCATGAGCAATACTATTTTTCATCTACATGTTATAAATAAATATTCCAATATTGTATGAGCCATTTTTCACCCGTGTTTTATAAATAAATATTCTGATATGTACACAAACATTCGCTGTTTACAATATTGTATAGATTTTAATTATTACGTATCATTTCTGTTAATTTAATAAATTAATCATGCAATGGAAATATTAATAATGTTGCGTGAATAATGCACTGAATTTATAGCTCTTTAAATTATTACATTATTGTTTATTTCATATACACACAATGTGTTGACGATTTCTTCTTTTCATTCTTATTAGTGTTTCAATCTTATCAAACTCTTATCAAATATCAAAAAGGAAAAAGATATAGAAATATATACACACACAATATTTAATATTTAATTAATATTGTCAGATTGTCGGAATAAAAATAAATTCGTGCATATTGAAGTCTCAATTTGCCATCACGATTGCTTCTTAAACACGTGATACATTTGTTGATTTCAGGTATGTTGATTCATTCTTATTTCGACTCATATTGTCATTTAAGAAAAAGTGAAATGTAATTACTCTGTTATATTATTAATGTTTTTGTTACAATCTAATTGAAACCTATCAAATTTAATTCATCCACACATTGCGGATTAATTTACTGCATAAACAATTATTAATTTATTAATATTGTATTATCTCGTATGTGCTCTCTGCAAAACTATATTTTTACATTAATTGCATGACCAATGTGATAATTTTACTGAATTTATTTTACGGTACATTAGTTGAAATAAAATATTAAATTCAACTATTCCACGTTTAATTTTCTCGAAGAAAACTCAAAATAGAATAATACTAAAAAAATCGCGTACAGTAATCATATATTCTATATTACACAATATTTATGTTGTTTCAAATTATTTACATTTATTTACATTTATTTTATACAATGGATAATAATAATATTTACGAAAAATACCTTATATACTCGATTAAATCCATCGTTCATTTATGTTTACCGTAAAATAATTTAGTCTTGCATATTTTTTTATCAACATATTTTACATACATACAACGTGAAACAATTTACTGAAAATATTTTGCGCTAAAATTTTTAACGATAGTATCATAGAAAATGTTCTAAATGAGTACGTACGCAAACTATTTATTAAGCGCGGCTCGTGATTATCTAATTGCAATTATCCTCGCGGCAGTTGAGTGAAATTGGCGATCATTTAACGAAACGAGGTGAAGGGAAAGGGAGATGATCATGACCGCGGCGCAGATGCACCATCAACAAATGTGGTTTTTGCTGTCGCGCCGTATCGAATCTAGTTCACGTGGTGAGACAATTTATCCGGATAAACCGAGCCTTGTCCGCCCTTTTCCTTCGTCTGTCCTATCGTCTTACCTAGAAATAGCTCGTTGAAATCGCCTTGCCCGCCGATGAAGACGCCGTAATGTATGTTGAGCTCGAAAAAGCGACCTGGCAGTTGCGACTTCGTCGTGTGTATGACATCGATCTGTAGGCTGATGTTGGCCTCGCGTCTCGTCAAATTGACCTCGTGCCAACTGAGGTCGTTCAGTGTCAATCCGCGGGCACTCGCCATCTCGTTCTCGCCTGCGCCCAGATTAATGTGAACCTGCGGCAAAAAGCAGTAGGAGCGACGCTCGTAAAAGTCAGTCTCATTTTATCGGAGTTATTGTAGACGCGCCGCTACCGCATATGGGTTTTATACGTACCCCAGAGTATAAACGCATTTCTGTTTTGTTTTTTCTTAGTCTATATTTTTTTCAAAAATCGATTGTTCCCCTCTTCAAAATAGAATTTCGCTTTCCGACCGTAGACCCTGTGTATTTTATGTACGCGTTAACCAAAGCCGCGCATGTTGTGAAAAAATTTTACGGAGGCATATGCATTTTTAGCGATGAACAGCGAGAGAGAGAGAGAGAGAGAGACGCGGTTATTTTTAGAAAATTTAATGAATGAAGTAATCGACAAAATTGTGCAGAAATATCGCAAGAAGCGTTCCACCACGTAATGTAGCTTACCTCTTTTGCGGTCTCGATGGTATGATCAAAAAGTTTTATACCTGTTGTGAAATAATTATACTGCACGGGAAAGAAAATTAGATTAAAATGAGATAAAAGTCCGTAAGCGATAACAACATTTTTATACGTAAAATATTTAAAGTAATAGTGTGTCGTTATTTGTGTAATATTATTAACACTGTCGCGCGCGAATTTAACTATTTAACACGGATATATAATTTTGTCTCGATGGCAAGAGTTGTTGGGAAGTCGATACGTTGATGAAAGTACATATTCGATTTTTCGTTTTCGAAAAATAGATATATAAATCCGCAAAAAAAGCTAGGTTTAGCTAGCAAAGTAGATGTACCAAGCTTGGTACTCGAGGTTGTCTGGCGCCAGTCATGCCCTGCAAATTCTCCGACAGCGTGAGCTGACAGGAATCCGACAGCTCGAGGTTTCGTGTATTCCGTCTGCACTTGAAGCACTCGCACAATGAGTTTGCACGCCGAGAGAATGAAGAAGGCAGACAGCTAGACAGACAGTGAAAACGGCTCTCGGTCTTACGCGGAAAATAAATGTCGAACCCCTTCGACAGCTCGTCGTCCCTATATTTGATCCAGTTTCCACGATGAAAAAAAGGAGCGACGCGTTTCGGCCGCAGTTTAGCAACTGGTTGGCAGGATCTTTGTTGGATTTTCGCAATTTTATATTCCACGCTGATACGCAAATAATGACTAAGAATCGCACAAAAGACAGACGTATCGTTATTTTCCCAAAACGCGTCGCGTACCAGCAGTTATACTGCAGCTACTTTGTAATCGCACCGTCGGGGATTTCTAGTTACGCGTAGTGGATTTACGATACACACCCACGGGAGAATAAATTCAAACTTCCCCCTTTCCCGTACGCATTTAAATTTCACAGATCTAAATCAACCGTACGATTGTTGCCTGCTATACTTGTCGCCCGACATTGTAGATTTCTAAAATCTTCTTATTTAATTAATACAATTAATTATAATCGATTTTATTTATAAATAATTAAATTATAAATTCCAAATTAAATTTATAAATAATAAAAAGTATATATATATTACACAATATTTCTTAATAACGAATTTTTTAACAAGTGTCAGATGGATACCTACTGCTATAGATATTTCCATTAGAATTTTATACTTAAGATTATGTTTCTTCTTTATATAAAATTTGATATCAAATTCTAGGAAGATATAAAAGACATAATGAAAATTGAACTGCGCACGTAGTAATATACATGTAGCTATGAAGAATTAAAATTTTTTTTTCAAATTTGTAGCAATCTTTATTGTATTAAATATTTCATTAAAAACTTGGAGAGAATATCGAATAATAATTAAAACTTTAAGAGAAAAATAAAAAAATTGCGGGGAATAATTTTTTACTATAGTAAAGACGCCGCTGTGTGGATAAATAATTTTCAGCACATTTTCTATTTTCTCGTCGCTTAAACCCTATGTTTCAACGCGGTGTAATGCATTATCGAGTTACCAGATAGTACACGATGCGCTTTAGCCAGAGGTGAAGTAGCAGGCTCTTGATAAAGAGGCTTTAATCGCGTCCTGGATCGAGCGTCCGAGACTTATAGCGTTCCCTACTACGGCATCAGCTACTGTTCCTCGAGCGCGCGGTCTTCGTTGATCCTATGTAAGAGATCTAGGAGCATCCGCTGCGGTTCTCCTCCTCTTAATGAAAAGTCGATCGTCCGAAACTAAAGTCGCAGTGGCGGCGCAGACCAAGTCACTGGCGCATCCCCGATTTTCACAATCGACCCGGTAATAAAGGCGCGAGCTTTCGAGAGCGAATCGAGGGTAGGTCCGACGATAGCATACTTACTACTACTGTTATACTAACCGCTGCTATTTCTCTTTGTCGCAGATGAAGCCGCATAATTACAAGAAGCAGAATAAACTCGCCTCTGAGTAAGTAAGAAAAGATTTATAAATTCTAATAAAATACATAATACAATGGATATGAATTGCGAGAGAGTAAATTAGGAAAATAAAAATTTTGAAAGCTATTTAAAAACAGAGAAAGAGAGGTCTCTTTTGAAATTGAATACAATACCGGGTAACTAAATATGTAACTAGGATTCATTAATATATATAAGACTTATAAGAGTCGATACATGCTGGATATTCTGTATAAAATGTAAACGCCTCTATGCACACAATTGCCGAAGAGTCCGCATTAGAAATGCATCGACGATTGGAAAGTGAATATCGGAAACCGCCGACGCATCCCAGCGAATCGTCGGATTATCCGCGGCACGTCCGAGACAGAGTTTGGGATGGGGCTCTTTTGTGATATACCGATACTCTCGAGTTTATATCTCGAATATACATAGATTGCGATACGTGCAATAGTGGAAGAATCGTGAATGCGCGACGCGGTCCGATTATATCACCGCGCGAAACGTCGACATGTCGCAGAAAATTTCCCTTTCACGTCTCGCCGATGAATGATCGTCCCCCGTACATTGAAAAGTGAACAATATCGCGATACATATATATGCTGTAGTAATTAAGATTTCATTCATCGGATTATCGGAGAGGCACAAGATTAACAACTGTTTCGCATTCAGATGCAATCGTCGGTGAAACGAGACGCTCACTTTCATTTCTCTGCGTTTGTTGGACGGAATGGGGTATATATTTATAATTCCCATTGCCGTTTAAATACAAGATAACGTCGAGGAAATATTTATTTGGGTCAGGAAAAATGCCGCGCTTTGCTAGCAACGATGTTTCATAATTACTAGGATCACGGTCCTCTTAACACGAAGAGGAAAAGTGCAATGCGACATTTTCTCTAATTACAAGGAATTATGGTCCATTATATTATTGCTACTATTAAATTCTTAACATCTCAGTCTCACTACATTTCTCGTAAACATATTTTGCTTTACGAGAAATTCGTAATTTATTTATTTACAAATTTCAAAAACCCTTTCATACTCTTTACGCGATAACAAAGGGAAAAAAGGAAAAACGAGAGCATAAAACTCATTGTCAGCTAAATTAAAGATAATTGCAATAAGTGTGTTGAGTAAATTTAGTTTTTTTCCGAATACTATATATTCTGAATTCTAAATATACTACATGTGAGAATGGAGATCCGACTATATATCGCCGGGCTGGCAGACGAGCGATACCGCGATATATCGCCACAATTAAGTTCTGAATCGCCGGATTATCACTGTATAGAGAGAGGGGCTTTCAAGCTTCCGTCTCTCGAGCTAGGCGTCGAGCGAGACTCCTCTCCATCTCGAGGAGGCACACGAGACCCCAGAACTGCACTTTTTGCCTCGGCCGTTTATCCTACCTTCATCCTCCTTAACGATCTTCTTAACAAATTTAATTAAGCCCCCGACGGCAAGCAGCTTCTTCAGGCGCTGCACGGACTTAACCCTTCGCAAAATTAGATTTGCGCGGTTTTCACGCCGGGATTCACGCACGTAATTAGGATACTACGTCTGCGCGCTACTAATGCACTCGGAACGGGGGTTTATTTTAATACCGGACTCGAGATACGTATCGCGTACAATTTCTATATCTCAGCGTTAAGATGTTTCAGGAAAATGAAAAAGAAGCATGTACGTATATGTACGAAAGAGCCGAGATTGGCGAGAAGTTTGCGATTGAAATGCGAGACGTTGTTCGAAAGGATGATTTTGGGATAATTGTGACGAGACCCGTAGTGGAAACCGATTACCTTAATTGCGCCCTCGTTGGGAAAATAATATTCGGGTCCGCGCGACTCGGATTCCCGCTCGTACATATTCGGGCTCGCGATAATTAGGACGCTTCATTCGTTTCGCAAGCACGTTTCACTCGTTGATGGGAGTGTGATAATGAGTCATATAAAATATGAGAGTGCGCGCGAGAATATTAATCGTTGGAAAATTAATAATCTGCGGCGAAGTTGTAACTTCGTTGCCGCGCTCGCAGCGTTCTTTGTACATAATTAGAAGCAGCGCCGCTCTCATCAGCGGTTATTATCAAGAGACAGGATGTGGCTACTACGCGAGCTCTATCGCTGTCAGCGTTCTTCTCATTATGGTCCATGAAACTTGCTTATAGACCACTGCTGTACCCACTATGTACCACTCTGTTACGTACATGTTTCATATACGCTGGCGCAGCCCGTGTTCATCCCCATCGCCAGCAGTCTTGACGCTCGTCATAATAACGTAGATATCGATCACGAAAATTCGTATTCGGCGTGTATTCAATCTGAATTTCAATTTCTGACACTAGAACAGATATGAAACGGAATTTGTTCGGGTAATGCAATATGTAGCCTCCGATGTGTGTGTATATATGTATTTCGCGCTTACAACGGCTGACAACGTAAAAAAAAAAAAAAAAAAAAAAAAAAAAACTATTCGTGCAAAATGTCATCGGAAGATCAATATACGAGATATAATAAATTGCTTTCCGTCTCGTTTCGTAACATCACGGATGTTTTCTCGGCTATCGAACGCGAGAGTGAATCTTTTCCGTTCATTTCGCATTCATTGCGCATATAACCGTACGTTTAATTACCGCGTGTAAATTATCGTGGAATAACGCTTTCGACGAATGAATTATTTGTTAAAAGAATAATTTCCGATGGAAAGTTATTTGTGCTTAGTGAAACGAGAACGGAGTCTCCGTTACTCATCCGTTTGCACGTAAATCCAGCGCGATTTTTCCGGAGTAAAAAAAAGCTCGCTCCATCATTCGTACCGCGATGTTCATTATTGCGTAAAATCCGACCAAGTGACTTTGTCCGGACAGTTTGACCGAACGCATGAAATCCTGACCGGTGCGCAAAAACGAACGCGACAGGCGTCGTTCCTGGTCGGAATGTCATCGTATCGAAGCGCGATAAAACCGGGGGGTGTATAGAAAAAAAAAAAAAAAAAAAAGAATCGACTTCACCATCGCGCGATATCACCACACAATTTCATTTCGCGAGACGTCGATGGAAAAGACATTACGCGGTTTTGTTCTCGTTGTTGCTCGACGTGTTGTAAAAGCGACCGCCATCGATGTTGACGCGCGCGCGCTGCGTCATCAGGCCATCAAAAGGAAGAGATAGAGAGTCGGTCTTTTTAACGAGGGCGTCGAACCGCTTATCAACCGCCGTGAAATCTTTCTTTATGACAGGGTTCAAAACACGCGAGGCAAGAAAAAAAGGAAGGCACGTACGAATCCAACCGTGAATTCCCCGCGATCGGCGACTCACCGGCTGATTGGATACAATAGAAGTGACGGCGGGTTAATTCTCTCTACGATTGAGGCGCAATTGCTATCAGTTGAAATGTGATACTCGACGATATCGAAATCTACCTACCGATTGATTTTGGTGGCTGGTTTGGTCGCGTATCTCGCTCGTTGACGAATCAATTTATCGGACTCTTTTTCTCTAGTATATGCATACATGTTTGGCCTTTTTGTACATATAAGGTTTCTGTCTATGACGCGCGCGTTTACGATGTCTATATCGAAAAATATGAAATATGAAATTGCGCGATACGTGAAATCGGCATTTGATTTTCAGCTTTTAATAGAAACGTTTAGAATAACTTTTCAATGGTATAGAAATATAAGATTTTGGAAGCGCTACACTACAGTCTTATCGATTTCGGTGCTACACGAGGTACGAAGGTATTATTCTATTCTTAACAAGCTCAAGCTGTTATTCTTACGTTATTATTACCTTCTTTTATTAACCTTTAACTGATATGCAGCGATTTCACAGATCACTACCTTTGTTCCATCCCTTCCATGTCCTTTAGCCTCGAACCTGAACTTCTTACCTATGTCCCTCGTAATAATAGTGTATGTGATATAATAATAATATTTCTCTCGTGCAAATAATAGCTTGTGCCCGGCAAATCGAAAAAGTAAAAATTGGGAAAAGAAATAAAATCAAAGTTAAATGATAATCGATATTCTTCACATGAAAGAGTGTATGAAAATATTCATACAGTAATCCGTACTACAATATCGTGCTATTATTGAAAGATACCTTAAAATTAGCGACAGTAAAGACAGATAAGTGCTCGTAAATGATTATTTAATAATAATCAAAATAAAATAAATAAAAATATGCGCGACATTACGTTCCCTACAAACACACGTCGAGTATACAGTTCACAAAATTCGTTGGCGATTAGGATCTTTTCCTGGACACAATATCCCTCGTCGTTGGCCCGTGCCATCTCTTTCGCTAAGAAATAAAAATCCCAAGGTAATAAGAACCGCGAGTGTTACATCTGCCCGAGGGAGCTCTCCCTTTTTCCTCGCGGTATCTCGCGAAGGGGAATATTTTAGCGCACGCGAGAGAATTTGTATTTTTTTTTTTTTTTTTTTTTTTCGTGTCACGACGCGTCTCTAATTTCTCCACAAGGACACGGGGCGAGAAGAGAGAGAAGCCTGACAGGCGTATTGCAGCACGTGCGGTCCGTTAACGACGACGAGACGACCGGCACCAAACAGAAAGTCTATTAATAGAAGTAAGCGCCGGGGGCAAACGAACCTTCAATCTGCCGGCTTCGAGTTTGATCAGGCAGTAATCCGTCTTGCCAGCAGCCAATAGCAGCATAGCATCGGCGAGATGAGTTCGGAACCGGAAACTGATGTCAGTAGCACCCTTGGCCTCTTGAACCGGAAGATGGATGTAGCTCGCCCCGTAAAACGACACTGCAAGTTTAACAAATTTAATACGTTTAGGTGGTACAACGGTGGAAGACCGATGGCGTGCATTATTATATACCGGACAATTTGCTGGACGGAGGAAAAAAGATGGAAAGAGAGCTAGAGTGAGAGAGAGAGAGAGAGAGACAGGAAAATGTGCTATTAACGTTGCAATCCTTCATTTTAATTTACATAATGTTGTAAATGTTCTCTCTCTCTTTCTCTCTCTCGTTCGCTCGACAATTCCACCGTCCTGAAAATTACACAGTTTTCTCATAACCGACGAAGACGGTTCCCTATTACAGTCGGTTCGCATTTTGTATTTCGCTGACTTATATAAAAATAATTAAAATATGAATTAAAAAGAAAAAGACAATGCGCGGACCGTTAAACATTGCTGCGCTCGCGAAACATCCTATTTTTACGTAAAATAAGAGGTGAGGTGAATACGTTGCAGAGTCGGCGCAGAAGACCTCATTTTTCTTCGGTGCCGAGGAAGAGAAATTAAGTGTCACTCGGGAAGTTTTATTTCGTTCATCTGTTTCTCCGATAACTTTTGAATTGCGAGCTAAAGTGGCTTTCTTCAGAAAATTTCATATATTACCTTACCATGCCGTAAGCAGCGGTAAATAAGTCGCGCGACGAAACTGCAAAGATAGATAACAAACTAATATGATTTTGCAAATTTTGTAAAATTCACGACAATCTTTTATAATCTCACCTATCTAATTTTAAAAATCAACTTTTTTTTACTATATTGATTTTCATAATAAAAGGAGCTTCGATTAGAATCTATAAGTTTTTAAATGCATAATAATTTATAATAATTATTTATATAGTATATAGAATATAATCAAAATAAAAAGCACTATAGCCTTAGATTCAAATTGACCAATTTAATTTTACAATCATAAACCCATTTCGTATTTGTATCTATTTTCATCAACTCGTCCATAAATTTTCATGCAATTTGCTATCACTCATAATATGAATTAATAATATGAATTATAATATTCCATATACGCACTACGTTGAAAATAACGTTTATTCATAATATTAATAAAAATAATAAAAGCTTTATTTTCATACGCACGAGAAATTGTTTTACCGAGCTCACATCAACTGTCGTTCGCATATATGTCAAAACAGTCGTCGTATAGCAACAACGGCCGATATTTCCAAATAAACGCGCTCTTCAAAGCTAATCAAAGTTTTTCGTTTATTAATATTTAAACCATAGGCACCACAGAGATGAAAAGTGTCACTTTGAATTGACATATTTAATAATCCTGATATAGGAAAATAGTTATAACAATGTAAAAAGAAGTTCAAAGATTATAGAGACATACGATGATTATTAATCACGATACTTCGAAATTTATCCATGGATTCCAAGTTCTCGAAGTCTATTATAGCAAGTACCCGTTCGAGCTACTTCATTAACAAAAGCGGTAGAAGTGGACCTGGCGGCAGGTTGATGAATGAATCGTCAAAGTTCTCCGACTCTCTCTTTCTCTCTCTCTCTCTCTCCCCTCAGATTTCTACGTCGACTTATTCATCGTTTTACAGCAGTACAAATATCTCTTTTGCGGTCTGAATAAAAAGTGATAAATAGAGAATTCGCGGTCGAGTCCGCAAAGTCTCCGTATAGATGTCCTCTAGACGTATTTCAGCTATTTACTCTCGTAAAATATTCTCGATTAGCGAAATCGTGTTTCCGAAACGACCATAAGCGTAAAAGGAGCACGTCGATGCTTCGATTGAACCGCTGAATGACCGGCTTCAGCAGTCTCGAACGAGCGACGAGAAGATCCCGACGTCTTATGGTGCGCCGACATCTATATAGATACATACATATAAAGGAATGAACGAAGTTACACCAAGGGTTTATTTCCCACTCCCCCGTAACTGATCTAAGAACGCGTTCAAGTATATGGAATAAAAGCACGGACCATTAAGTACGAAGAATCTCCTTCTCTCCCTTCAGCTCTCTTCTCCTTCTCGGTTAACAAGTGCATAGAAACATTAACGTCGACCGCGAATCGATCGTATTGCCCTCGGTGTTTTTCAGTTCATTGCACCGCGGCTTACTCAATTCGCGTTATCCGTGAATCGCAATATTTGCGTACGTTTCAAAGGACTGACTTGATATACGAGCTTTGATGCCCGTCAACCCTTTCGCGCGGATTCACCAAGCGCGTATTTAAAGCCTCAAACGTTTCTCATTTCTCACACATTAATTAATTTGCGCGAAACTGTCAGTCTAAAACTGATTAAATAATAAACAACTTTTTCCAAGTATTTATTCTTTTTTAATAACTTGTTATATCCATATTTTAAATATTTATCATATGTCAAATATTACTTTTAGAAAATTAAATGAGCAATATTTTAACTTTTGCAAACAAGTATATTTGAAAAAATTTATCGTTTCACAAGGTCTGTAATTAAGAGATCTAAGTAAAGTTTATAATTGACGAAAATTGAAATTTAAATAGACAAAGAATTAAAAGCTATAAAATAGAGATAAACCGATGAATTTCTCACTTATATATTATACTAACAATGTAAACGTAATTTTTAAGAGCGCAAATATTTAAAATTTTAAGATTATCACACATTTTATCTTCTCAAGTGCACATTTAATTATATACTACATATTTGAGATGTCTGATCATATACTACACAGTTGAGATATATGTACATTGAACATCAATCCATGTAGAGCTATTTCGATTGTACCTCAACTGCGGATTGTACTCTATATCGATTTATATATTCGTTACGATAATTACGAGTCTCGACGGTTTGTATACGGGGATATCGAAAATACGTATTCAGTTGTTATTCGATAGGTTATTTGTTTTGTAGAATTACTAAAAACAGAATCGTTACGAAAAAGAGATCGAGTTAATCATGCGAATATATTCGCCAGCAATGTTCCATGAACTTCGATCACAAAGAGGGATGTTGCATTTTATATGTTGAAAATTAAATAATAAATTGAAACTTTTGTTGAATATGCATATATCCACGGCATAGTCATTTCGCAAATTGTTTATCTGTGGCGCGACGTCAAAGTATTATTTTACATACTCGCGTAGATGACGGACTATTCAGAGGGAAAAATTGTGCGTCACTATTTTCTAACGCAACTTGAATCGTGCGTCATCGTCGTCGAAACATATATGTACATATTTCTTGCTCGTAATATATAACTAATGGCTAATCCGTAACAGGAGGCTAATTCATCCGACCGTATCGTTAATCATGGACTAAATTCTGCACCGGTCTCTCTCGTAATTTCAGATCAAATTTTCTGCATTTTCCGCGTTGATTGTGTACCGATCGGTTGTATCAAATTTGCTAAATACATAGATTGACCTGCATTCGGTATAAATAGTGGAGGCTATAGAATCGGAACCGCGTTATGAGATACCTATAACATTTCTCCAATGCATTATGCAACTCTCGTAATTTTATTTTTCTTGTTTTCCTTTTTACGAGAACGCGTATAGAGATTCTCTCGTGGTTACGTAAGCGTAATTGGCCAACGGCATTCGAAGAAAAAGTATACAGTGCATTAACGTGCGGTGATAGTGGTCGGTGCAGCACGATGTGAACGGCGAATGAAAACAATCTCATAAAGTTTTATATCGAGTATTCCGTTTCCTGATAATTCCTTCGGTAGATATTGAGCTTCTCTCAAAAAATGAGAATTAATCATTTATGGGGAGCTTAATCGTTCTGACCAATTTTAATATACTATCGACATCGATGAATCTTGATTGCTTTTATTTATATATCATACTGAAAGCGTATGTAATTACGCAAGAGAAAATAATATACGGGATGCTGCATGTATTTTTTTTTCTCTCTCTAAAAAATGTTGAAAAGCCAATTACAATTTCGATTAAATCTTAATCATTTATTTCATCGAATTCCAAGTGATGTTGGTGCAATCGATCTTTTTCGCAAACTATTGAAAAAGCTCTTCATCAGAGAACCGAAACACATTTTACATGTAATTTCGTCCAATGTTTACGATTATTAAAATTACGTAAAATTATCTACAATTGCATTTACAATTTTTCACTGAACAATTTCTTTTATTACAAACGCGCGCAAAAATATTTCAGCCCACGTTCTTCGATTACATCTTTGCGAGATACATTAATGACCCCGGCATGCACAAAATACGCGGCCGCGTAACAACGAATTTCTCTCTCTTTTCCGATGCATGTGTTTTTCGCAAAAATATGCATCCAGTCAGAATAGCTGGAATGTGTAAAAACAAATGCGCGATACGCCACGTGCGATGCGACGCAACAGTCTCGTACGTTTCATGCAGATTAATCCGACAAACGGAAAACTGATTAGAGTAGTCGAGAGGTATCTCATTTTATTTCGGGATATTCCCCGGCAATATTGTATGTCTCTTGGGGAAAGTATAATTTCGCGTGAGATCAACTGCGAATAATATAAAACGAACATTGCGAGTGTTGCATTCTTCCACCATTACACACATGTATAGCATATATATATAGCATATATATTTCTTGTTATATTTCCCGAATTATTTAGCCCAGAATTTTATTTCTAAGTGACATACAAACGCAAACGGAACATGATAAATTTAATCAATCGTTTTTCGAAACGCTGCATCTATATGTATAAACTACTGCAGAATTGATAATAATTTCGAAAAGAGAATCCCCAATGTGTATTAACTCGCGCGCGAGTGAATACGTCGACGTACGGATTTTATTGGTACAGAGACACGACGTATGTATTGATTGTTACGAACGCGCCATCAGAACTTTTTTTTCGGGAACAGAAGAGACCATTGCGATGCATGAACGTTAACAATTTTCTATTTGAACTTGCACTGTACGCGCGAGTATCGCGATGTGACCGCTTGTTAAATTCGGATCGATCTGGTAAGAATCGGGAAAGAGATGACTCTCCGGAAAAAACTAACTAACGCGCGGATTGCCTGTTTCGATTATCCGGTTTATTCGAACGAAACGCTAAGCCCATATACACATCGAGCATTATACAATGATAATGGATACGCCGATAATTCGCTACACGAGTGCATTCCCGATATGTATTGTAACGATATGTATGATTTAATAGCGAGTTATTACTTCAATGTGATTTCCGCGTTCGATTATTATTGCAAATTGGGCAAATTTAATTAGCGACTCTGAAAACGATCCTACATTCTTCTCGCGTAAGTATATCTTACATTACGAGAATAATTAAGAAATTTATTTTCCGATTAATCTCCATTTAAATTTGAAGGTGCGTTAGATCGTACGTTTTATTCCTTTTTTTTTTTTCGTCCGCAAGAATACATTATTAAAATTTTTATGTAGCACGCGTCGAGAGATAACATCGAAGAAATTTAAACGGACTTATTTTGCAAAATTACAGAATAATATTTCTCTTCCTCAGTATATAATCATACGTATCCGCCTACATTTCTCATGCGCAATATCTCTGTGCTTGTATAACGAAGGACATAATGCAAATATTTAATAGCACGCTTAAAACTTTGAAGTAATAAAGCAACGAGTTAATTCTAAAGTAACTGTAAAATATCACGAGTTATTGAGTTTGATGGTTATGCTGCAATATGCAATTATACAAAATTGCATGGATCCATTCAAATTTTTTTTCGATAGTAAGAGAAGAATTAATGAGAATAAAAGCACTTATGTATATATATATATATGCATAATCATGTGTAATAATTATTAGTATCGAATTATTTAAAAAATGCATGAAAATCACTAAACAATTTGATTTTTTTCAATGACTCTAGAAAAGAGATAAAATTGTGTCGTTAAAACTTCAATTAAAACACAATGGATTTTGAATTTGTTTTAAGCCACTGAAAATATTGATTCAAATTGGGTCAAAAGACTCAATTTTTTTCGCGACTTTTTAAATTACCGTTGCAGTTATCATGCACGATTACAAGTTTGACGTTTACAATTTGGATCATCTCTCATTCTTTCTCCTATACGAGTATACTTTGATATTTTACATATATAACGAATTTCTCTCTCTACTGTTGCACATAAATTTCTATCACTATGATCGTTAAAAAAATGGTAGCCTTCGGTTATCCTAGTGGTTATTTGCGGATTAACAAGAGTTAAAAAGACCGAGGCGTTCTTGCGCGCGTTTCTCTCGATATAATCGTTCATGTGGGGGATGTTTACGAAGGGATGCTGCGGCGGGGGTGTAACGCACCGCAGTCTCTCGCGCTATTAAAAGCGCCCGACGATATGTATGTATATGTGTGTGCACGCCGACCATTAAAGCGCTCCCACACTATAAGTAAATTCGCGGAAACTACTGATGCCGGCGGCCATAAAAGTTAATCTTCGCCGTTCTTTCTCGCGCGTGGCGCTATCCTCGCATCCCTTCGTCCTCCGAGTGGCGATGCGGAAAGCAAAATCCGTATTTCTTTCGACGCTACCTTTCTCCGCGTCCGGAGGAGTGAAAAGCGCGAGAGAAAGAAGGAGAGACTTACCTTTTTCGTCCGTTTGGCAGTAACCCAACAGAGAGGTTGTTACTGCTAAGAACATTAGCAGTCCCATGTCGTTGAGGAACGCTGGCCTTTTCCTGTGCATCTCTTATTGTTTTATTCAGCCGAAACCGCCTTCTCCCGCAGACTCGGCGCGCACTCTCCACTCTTCCACTTCCGCGAGGCGAAACAGGCAGCACCGGTCTGACGAACGACCTCACGGAACGACCGGCTCTTAAGGGATATCGATTTCACGTGACGGGGGTTACAAAACGCTATTTACGGAGCGAGAGCGGGCTAAGATTCGAACGTACTTTTCCCATCCATTTCTTGCTCGTATGTCTTCCCCGTCACGCACATCGCGAAATTCTTCTCCCTCGCTCCCGGGATACGTTCGATATCCGAGACAAACGAATCACGATGGCAACGTTCGAATCGAGACACTTTTCCGCAGATGCTTATCGATCATAGATCGTGGATCACGTCCGTGGGGATGTTAAGGGTTGATTTAGTAGAAAAGTGTAAAACCGACGAGAGCGCCCGCGAATCTAGTAGTCCTAGTAATCCTCGCGTGGTGATGTATCTCCCAAGATGCGGCGCGAACGCTCCGGAAGCTGGCATCTCGTTTCGCACGTATTCCCTTTGGTCGCTCTAGTGTCACGTTGCACCACCACCGCACCGATTCGGTCGAATCTGAAAGAACAGCGGCGCACAGCTGCAAAACGACGCGCAACGTGCAGATTTCTCTCCCGAAAACTCTATTCCGTCGTATCCGCTGATGCTACGCTTCGAGCTTTCGGGCACGTACCAAGCTCGCTGCAGAAAGCTCGCGAAAAAGCTCGGGTCAAAGTGTTGAACAGCGTGAGCCAGATGCGGGACAGCCTCAAAGCTTTTCTACTCATCGCGCGTAGCGAGAGAGAAAGATGTTTAATTACAAAATATTATTACATCGCGGCGAAAAGAAATTTGATGGAATCGCATTTTCTAGAATTGATATTGGCAAATTGATTTTCGAAAAGATTTATTAATCTTGAAAAATTGTTGATTTGGACATTTTCAAAACTTTAATAATTAATACGGACGAATTTGAGAAATTTCAGAAACTCCCATGTGTGTGTGTATGTCATTGTTCAAAATTTTGTCTGCAGAGTCTTGAATTTCTTAGTATCAGCGAGATAAAAATTTCACGCGAGAAGCTTTCCTTGTGGAATTTTCTCGTGACGCAGGTAGCGAGTAATTATTTTACCGTTTATATTTGTTTTAGTAATATAAATACGTGGGGCGGTTATAAGAGCCCAAGTTTTTGCGAAGAATTATTTTCAGGATGAAAAAGCAGTCCCGCGCTGCGTGACACTATTGTTCGAAAATATTATAATCTCAGCGAGGCTGGTACAAAAGGCAATAAACGCAAAGCTAATATTTCTTTGCCAAAAATATTTATGAGTTTGTTGTAACACCGGAATTAATACACTTGCAGGTAACTTTTCAAACATCTGCCAAAACAAATATACAAATGTGTTACACACAGAGACGCACATACACACACAAATTTTACATAAATTAATGAATCATTTCTATAGCAACACATGATAAGTAAATCTCATTGCATTTGAGGTACCGCAGCTGTTTCGGGAATATTCATAATTCAGCTTGCAGAAAGAGAGAGAGAGAGAGAGAGAGAGAGAACCGAATGCAGCATATTCTCTTGATAATCCAGTCGATAGTGAAAGAGAGAAGCTCAATTTCAACTGACAAACGTGCGCGCGCGAATGTGTTACACGCGAAAACGAATTTCGTGTACGTCCAGTCGCGCGCGGTCACCGTCTAAAATAATTATTTCTCGTCGGAGCAGAGGCGAGAGAGGCACCGCCACACTCGTTCCCTGCGACCACGAAAATTACCGTGGTCGAAATTAAAACCACTTGAATTCCCGCTTGCGCTCGCGCGCGTTTCTTCATGATAAAGAGACGGTATTTTTCCTGCAGCGCGAAAGCTCAAGCTCGCTCGTATTTCCAAATGCCCCTAGCTTCCGTACGATAAGAAGTTTTTCGCGTAAGGTAAAATGGGGACTTTCACACCACGAATCTAAACATTTAAACGACCCTGCCAACCCGCAACTTGGCATTTTCCCCCTTTTCGTCCAGACGGTTGGTTTACTTGGAGAATTTCTCGCGAGAAATGGAGACAGAGAAGGAGAAACGGTAGAAGAAAGAGAGACTCTGCGTCTCGGCATCTGCGAATCTCATTTGCAGTGACCGACATTCGACACGGTCAACGATCCTTGAGTAACGGACGACGATGAAATAGAGAGACAGAAAAGGAAAAAAAAGAAAGAAGAGCCACAAGAGTACAAGACGAGAGCAAAAAGGCAACCGACACGCTCGACATTCACACGGCCCATATTTTTCGCTCTCTCGCGCGTTGCCTCCACATCTCTCGCTCTTCCAACTAAACTTTTCGCCCTTTACATTCGTCGATCGTCTCGGCGCAACACTCTGCATCGCGTAAAACAAAAAAAAAAAGAGACAAAAAAAAGAACGCACGCCGGTTGTTTCTATTCGGCGGGCATCGAATCGAGCGCAAAACAAACCACCCTCGCCGATTGCAACCCCTATTTCCAGCCACCACACCGAACGAGACTACGAGTGCTCGTTCATAAGGTAACCCTCTGAAATTCGCTCTTGCGAAACGCATCCAAATAGCAAACTGCACGCTTTATTCGAAAGATGCATGCTTCGAACCCGGGTCGTTTTATCGTGGATGCAGGCTTCCTCTCTATATATCTGCGGGACATAGTTTTTTTCCTTCTTTTTTTCGCCGTTCGTTCTCACGGTTGGCCGCGCACAGAATCGGGGTATGATAGTAATGGTTTTACCGAGTCTAATTGTCGCCGAGAAGAAGTGTCGCGCGTCCAGACGAAATTTACGGAAACGATACCTTCGTCTCTACAGATGTAGGAACATACATGTTGTATATGTGTATATACTTGTGTATCGAGAATACATATATACATGCGACATGTATAGGATTCGTAGAAAGCCACTTAATCTCATGGCGGATTCACGTGAAATAATCGGGAGAGGAAGATACATGTCAGTAATTTCCAGTATTTCTCTACCCTGCGTCGGCGGCCGATTAAACGGGCTTTAGATTATCATGGCAGAACGGATGATGTTTTACTATGCTTCCTGTTTTTACGCGACGTTAAAGAGAGTTACGGTGAGAGAGACTCATCACACTGATACAATATTTCTATCCAATAGAAACACATCTACACATGAGATTATGTACATACTTAACGCGTTTTCGGAGTATATACATATATATATCTATGGTTGTTCCGCATGCACATGGCAATATTTGCACACGCCAAGTTTCGTGAAAGAAAATCGAGCTGTCCCTCTTCCCTATATACGCGTATGTACTGGGAAATCCATATAATAGAGAAGAAGGAGAGGTTCTTTTGACATGAGATTATATTAAAGCCAATAATATCCTGGGATTAAAGATACACCGCGACTTTCTTATTTTATGATCGCCAAATAAAGATTCAGCATATCTCGTGAGTACTTTTGATTAACATAACTTCAAGATTGATCGCACGTAATCAATGATCATCCACAATCGATACCCGGATAAAGGATTTACGTTTGGCAAAAATTAATTGTCATCAAGATTTATACCGCGTATAGAGTTTTTTTTCAAACCAATTTCAATTATAATCCCCAAGAACGATAATTTTATCTCGAGCTTATTTTTTCAAGTTATCCCACTTTGATCTCCGAGAACGGCATAATTCTCCGCAAGACGAACGGTGCGATACGTTTTGACATTTCACCGCTGCGTTTTGTAGCCGCGAGGCGGATAATCTTTTTATCTCATCTCTCTGACAGCTACGTTACCTTAGTAATCAGTACGAAACGTCGAGAGTAGCGTAGCCTCCTCTCTTTTTCTGCATAATACGATACATAATACGATCCTTTCAACGAAGCACGCGCACACGTACACACACACACAAACATGTATACATACATACTCGAGGGTTCGACCGATGTATCGCCAACAAGCAACACCTATAGATCGAACGCACGAGAATTTCGGTCAAGATGAGCGAGCAAACGGCATATCGAGGAAGCACGTCGAGCGTCGGCACATCGGGTAGACACGAGTAGGAGGACGAATAGGAGAGAAAGGGTAAGGTAAGCGAAGGTGGCTAGAATTCGCGTTCGTGGACCGTGACCGCTCGTATAGCTTCCCAGTCGGCGAGAAAGCCGAGGACCCGTATAATGGCTCACGTAGGTGAACCGGTGCACGCGGCTGAAATTTAAACCACCACCACCACTGCCAGCACCAACACCAGCAACCACTACTACTTACTCTACTATACACACCAGGGAGCACCCACCAGTGCAAGCATCCACACACTACTGCCGCCACTGCCACCGGCGTATCGCCACCCACCCTTTGCTGCGTGATAGAGCGAAAGAGAGAGCGAGCGAGACGAATAGAGTGACAGGAACGAGAGGCGGAGTTGAGGGAGGCTAGCAACCCCCAGACCGGCATCGCCGTCGTTTCGTCACGGAATCCACGCAGCGGATCGGCCGTCCCGCGCGCATTCCGACAAAATTCGCCGAGTTCCTCTCGCGGCTTCCCTTCGCCGGACGAGGATCGACGCACACAGCTTTACGCGCGTCGCGCGTGTTGCGTGTACCAAAATGGTGAAGGTCGGCGCGGCGCTGCCCGGCTCGTTTTCACTCGCGGCTCGCGGAGGGAGATGAAGAAGGTGGAAAGAGAGAAAAAGAGAGGGAGTCGGTCGCTTTCGGTCCAGACGGAGAGCAGCCTAGACGGATAAAAAGAGATACGCGCGCGATGGCAGGAAACGAAGAGAGTGAAGAGAGGACCTCGTCGACGCTTCGACCGGGTGCTCCTCGGCCCTCCTCTGCCGCACGACGACTGAATCTTCGGGGTGGACTGGGGAGGCTGCGCGCAGGGTCGACCCCGCTCGTTCCTGCACCCCTGGCCTGTCTGTGCTTTGCTTGCCTATCGGCCAGTGGTGGCGGCGACGCGAACTACGGGGCGGACAGGGATGCTGTTTTAGGATTTCTCTTTGCAATAATGACGACGCGTTTAGACTCCCAACGGGCGAACGATATCATAATTCATGATAACCCGCTTATAAATATTAATTATGCGATATACTATATATTAGGGACGGCTTGAGCGCGGAAGAATGCCGATGTAAGCGACGCCGCCCTTGTCCCGTTACTGTTTGTAATTAATTAGGCGCTTTGTTTCGCGCGAACGATTAGGTTCTTTGATTATCGAATAATCGAGCTTACATTTTCCGGCGTTTCGTCTCGACGACAACAAGTTCATTGAGTTTAATTATTTCATAGCTATTTTTCTGATTTGTGTAGATACGTGTATCGATGATGGAGAAACACATGTTGAAGCAGCTCGTGATATTAACGTTTAGAGACGGAATACTTTCGTTTGCATAGTTGAATCTTTTTAATCTACGTTTCTCTTCATCAAACAAAATTGTGAAATCAAGATCGGACAGAACTGCTGTTGACTATTCGGAGTACTTTTTTGATCAAAAACATCGAGTTCTGTCAGATAAGCCAATTAAATCGGTCAAAATAAGAAGTTATGATATAGAGAGTAATTAAAATGTACATGTGCACATTTCATCGTGTTAATTATTTTTTATACAAAGAATTTTTCTCGTATTTTTTATGATGACATATGCGCTTTTATTCTGTAAGTATAATAATAACAATAGGTTGCACAAAGGAGATGCGTTCGTGTATGAAAATATATTTAAATAGACAAAATTGTATAACATTATACATATAATATGAGGATGGACATAATATTTATAATAAATTATAATAATATATACATTTATAAACTTCACATTAATAAAATTTTATCGACATGTTTCGCGGTAAAATATTAGTATCGTAAATATCATCGAGTATAGCTTATATTGAGATATAATATTACCCTGGATATAATTAGATCTTCTGCATTTGGCGTAGGTAGCCAGCTTGTTTATTCCAGGAGTAATAATAACTGCGTTGACCGAGCCCATATAATACATACAGATACTGTTACCTTTCGGCCCTGCTTATTAACCACAGTTGTGCTTTGATAAAGACAAGATGATATTAATAAACGACATTATGTATTATCGTCAAACGATATAACTTCTGCCATTATCGAATAATTACATATACACGAGTCGAAGGGAGCAGAAATTTAAAAAGTTTGCTACACGCGATAAAAACAGGCTTACAGGGATTATTTTTAGCGAAGACGACTTTTTTTTTAAAAATCATTCTCCTTTTTTAATCATTCGTCTAATATTGGATCGCCACGTTAATAATTTGTTCGAATATTATTTTCGATTTAGCGATTTATAATTTTACTCACAAGTGACGTACGAAATACAATTATAATTCCTCTTCTACGAACTTTTAAGAACACGATCACGTATTTACATTGAAACAACGTCGATAAATGCGAATCCGGTTCCAGATTACTGAACAACCCCGAAATGGGGACGCACTTGTTAAAAGTTATTCGACGATCTGTTCTTTCCCATGAAAAATGGGTTCAAATATCAGAAATAAGAAGCAAAGGGTATCAGTATGTACGACTCGAGTAACGGCGATTTAAAGATACAATATACGTTGACATAACTTTCTATTGTCCGTTGAAAGCACAGAATTGTGTGGAGAGAATAACTGAAATGCGTTTAAACTATATGCATTTTGCTCGTTCTAGTAAGCGTGTACTTTTGTATATTACGCGTATGAAACTTTCCCTTTAAACATTCAGTATGTTTTGGTAAAAGCAATTTTGCAAATTATTAGTCGAGCACAATGTTTCTATTCACAACTGTTATTAACTACTCACTCGTAGCGGCGCTGCAATATTTCAGTCGCAATCTTTAATTATGATCGCGATAAGTTTAATGAAGTCGAATGCATTTGCAGTTTAACGGGGCACGCTGTTCTTGCTCCGTTCGTGTTTTTACCTTCAATAAAGTTTAACAGCGAAATTCGCCAAATTCAAGCACGTTATGTGGTCCCCCGAGCGTTTTACCAGCGTAATGGCAATTTAAGCATCTCGAGAGTGAACCGGCGGATGATGTGGTTTACCTGCATAGTTTTTTCGGGATATGGCGGAATTTTTGTAAGACGTGAGCCGCGAGGAAAATGACGCTTATACCTGCATCCTCGGGAGGACCATTTCCGTTTTCCTCGGGCGTTTATCGCGCACGTGCGGCAATTTCAAGCAAATTGTTTGTAGCAAAGCTTTCGCGAAAACTAAAAGCGAACGAATATTAGCTCGCGGACGGAGTCTATCTATACCTTGGTTCGCGGATCCGCGGACATCAAAGCTTAAAGGATTTACATTTGCCACCGGTAGATGACACGCGCGAAATGCTGCGCGTTTTCTCGCAATCGATTAAATATTAATCTTCCCTTTTCAAGTATCTCACAAAATAGTATTAAAATTATTTGTTCGTATTCTTCTCTTTACGATTTCAACCGCGGATGAATAGCGCGCACGCATTGGTATGCCTTTCGACATATTAGTGAGATCTATTAAACGCGTTGGCAGGAAAACGTGTCGGTCTGCATAATTAACATCTCGTTATAGGATGAAATTATCCGTAAATATTTACTAGTTTCGGATTCATCCTGCGCATTTCGTTAAATTCATGAAACGTGAAATCAATTATATGCGTTTCGGCGTTATTCTATAGACAGAGATAAAGTCACACGCTGCTAATAATAGACTAATAATAATAATTCGCACGTTTTGACCAAAATTGCCAACGGGAGGTTAGTACAAGCGCGTGGATTTTAAAGTGGCACGTTTGTGATATCCCATTGGAGATGCAACATATAGAGGTGATCTATTTTGCGAGATCTTTGTGCACCCGAAAACTGCTTCTTTCCTGACCCACAGACAATATTTTCTTTCTCTTTGTGTCTCTCTCAAATTTACTCCGCCCCGGGGAAATATTGCAGAAATATAACTAGAACGAAGAAAGAACACGCCGATATATCTACAGAATGAATATATAATGAAAATTACAACGAAAGTGCTTTTAGCGACTGTTCTCCGCTCGTGATTCAGAGGACACGTGACGCGATTTGAGAAACTTGCTCTTTCTTCTCTCCTTGGCGTTTTCCGTCGTCGAAGTTTCCGATTTCATCCTAAGTACGCGCCAATTATTCGACTAGTACGGCTTTATTGGCGCGATCCTTTTCTCTCTCTGTCTCTTTTCCGTACAAATTTACATGTCCTCGGGGAAATATCGAAGGAGCACGGCGAGAGATAAAACGGTACACCAGCATAGAAGCCGAACTGCGCGCAAAGTCGAAGTCGCATAAAAATTATTTATACGATTCACACACGTAGGAAAGGATTCTCGCGCGACTCAATTTTTCAGCGTACAATTTCCAACGAGTAGCCGAAGAGCTGCGATCGATTAGTCCATGCAAGAAATTAATAAGATCGGATCTCTCGAATCGCGCCGCGATTTCTACGGGAATACGTAATCCTTTGCCTCGATCCTCTGTACGATTTTCCTGGAAAGAGAACCATTCTTTCCACATCTTCACGAATTCCGAAATCTTCCAAAATTTACTTCACCTCGGGGAAATGTTGGCGCGAGGCGATATAAAACGTTATGCTAAGGGGGTTATACGTTCGTTGAGAAATTACCGAGCAACTCACCCCTGGCCGGTCCTTAACTCTCGGATCTCGCGCCCCGAAGTACTTTTAAAACCTTCGCCGGTTTAAATCTATTGATTCCGCGGACAATATTTCCTTCCTCGAGCGAATATTTACTTCGCCCCGGGGATACGTCGGGGCTGTAAATCGGAGCGTAACGACACGGAGGATATGTGCGCGCAATAAAGTTGGACCGCGAATTGATGCGCCAGCGAGTGCAAACGTAGTGTCCTTTGTCCTTCCCGACAACATGTAATATCGATACTTAAACTATAAACTTTTCTCCTTTTTTCCTTCCGCTTAGGTATTTTAAATTTGTCTAAAAAAAAGAAATATATGAAGCTAAACTTCAATTTACATGTTGTGCGTCATCGATTTGTATACAATATGTATATTCGTGATGTGAAACAAATGGAAAAAGATATATATTTTAAATATTCTAATAATCTACGTATAATTCTGCAATTTTTATTTTATTCCATTAGCCAATTTTTTCCAGATTTAAAAAAAGGAATACTATAGTGTTGATTTGTATATTGTATGTATAATTGTATTATGAGAAAAAAGGTGAGAAGGAGATATATATATATATATATATATATATATATATAGTTTGAATATTCATAATAATATATATATATATAATTCTGCAATTTTTATTTTATTCCATTAGCCAATTTTTTCCAGATTTAAAAAAAGGAATACTATAGTGTTGATTTGTATATTGTATGTATAATTGTGTTATGAGAAAAAAGATGAGAAAGAGATATATTTTGAATATTCATAATAATCTAGCTACGTATATAATTCTGCAAACTTCCACTTTATTTCATTAGCCAGTTTTTTTTTAAATTAAAAAAAAGCTACTTTAAAAGAGATATTTGATCAAAAAGATTCCTCGCAAAAATTCCTACGCGCGCAGACGCACTTTTTTCCCCCAATACAATATACATCATTAAGTTGCATTAAGAAGCAAGAGATTAACGTAAACATGGAGGAGGGTCTCTCCCATCGCATCAATCTCATCCCCCGTCGTTGTATATATACATTTCCAGCTATACTTTTGCACCCTCAGCCGTGTACATTGACCTTTCAACGGAAGAAAGAAGAAGTTTATAAATATTTCGCCGCGGTTTCACCGCGGCATTCACCCTCTCGCTGGCTTTCTGGCTAGAAAGCGATGT